TACATGGTTGCTTATCTGGTCCACGAGTTCTTTTAATTGTTGTTGTTATAATTTGAGGTATTGTAGTCAATGGCACTGTAATCTGAGCAGGTGCATTCTGAGCCTCATTAATAGGAATTCTTGTAATTCTAGGTGCATCATTGAAGCCATCAGGTGTTTCATCCGCGATCCATTTTAAATGTAAAATCTTAGCAACTTCAGTTTCTCCCAAAGATGTCCTAGGATCGGGATTCACTATAAACGTTTTTGGTGCTTCAAATATGAGTACTTTATTTCTTTGTTGATTGGATACTCCTCTTTGAAGAGATGGAAATACAATTTCTTCAAAATGGCAATTTTGCAAATATGCATGTAATAATGTGCCAGTTGATGGATCAATAATATGAATAATGCTTGGTGAATCAAAACCAACATATATGCCTTCTTATCTATGAGCTCCAATGGTACGCCATTGAGGTTCTGGTACTAGAATCCAAGCACGGCAACCAAATACTCGTAAGTGAGATACATTTGGAACACGACCCGAAATGAGCTCATGTAGTGAAACAATTTCAAGAGAAGAAGGGCGGAGGCGTATTAATGCTATAGCATGTAAAACTGCATGACCTCACATAAATGCAAGTAGATTTGTATGAAGGAGGAGTAGCCACATAATGAGTTATATACGCTTTATAAATGACTCTGTAAGTCCATTTTGAGCATGTTCATATGGAACACAATATGTCAACTCGATTCTTGTTGCAGTACAATAGTCTTCAAAAGACTTCGATACAAATTCTTTTGCATTATCCATACGCAATGTTTTTATAGGATAATCAAGAAAATGTGCTCGAAAGCAAATAAGCATAGATATAAGATTGGCAAACACCATGTTTCGAGTTGATAATAATGAAACATGTGATTGTTTACCTGATGCATCAACAAGGACCAAAAAATAAGGAAATGGTCTTGATATTGGATTAATAGGACCACAAATATCACCATGCAATCTTTCAAGCCTTGGTGGTAATTCTTGTGGAAGTTTTCAAATTGAAGGCCGAGTAATCTTTTTACCTTGTATGCATATACGACATAATTCCATAGAGTCTACATCTGCAGGCTTTAAATTGTGCCCAGTTATACATGGAATGATCTTTCTAAATAATGTGGATCTTGGATGTCCCAATCGTCCATGCCAGAGAGAAACACGACTCTCTGAGATAGATGATGCAAAATTAAATATAATGGGAGACCGAATTATAATTCTGTATAAACCATTTTCTGTAGCAAAAGCTTTTTCAACAACTTTATGGTTCTTCGCAAGAACCAAAACCTCTTTTCTATTTAAAGTGGCGATCGAGAGGTGTTAACCATTAATACGCACATCTCGGTAGCTGATTAGACTCCGAGGTGCTGAGGGTGCAAACATTGCATGTTTACATTTTATGATGGAACCCGCAGGTAATTTTACCATCGCTGTGCCCTCTTGGAAACAAAATGCATTTGTTCCAACCATGGTTATCATGTTTTTAGTTTGCCAAGTTGAAGATTTTTCAATAAAAAATTGTCTATCTTGCAAGATAATATGTGTTGTTGCAGAATCAATGAGCGCATCATTTGATTCATCATTAGAGGTTCTATCATTCATATAAGCCTCTAAGTCATCAACACCAATTGAATCCATGGATGCATCCATGGTATGAACTTCACGAGCCTCAACTCGTAATTTCTTATTTTCTTGGAATATTTTAATAAAATATTTTGAAGTATGGCACGCATGTGCTAAATGTCCAATCATTCCACACTTATAACAAGAATGCATCTCTGATTTTTATTTTCTACTATAATTACTAGTAGAACATTTATTCTTTCCATATGGGTAAAAATGGTCTTGACTATGATTACCCTGATACTTATGAGCATGTTTGCCATGTTTATATAATTTCTTCTTAGACTTTGAAATATTAAGTGCATGAGATTCTGGAACTGTAGTTCCAATAGGACGAGCTTCTGCATTACGCAAGAGTAACTCATTTTGCTTCTCCGCAAGAAGTAGATAGGACATGAGATCAGAATGACTCTAAAATTTCATATTCCTATATTGTTGTGTAAGCACAGCAGATGCAAGAGGAAATGTAGAGAGAGTTTTCTCAATCATTTCTTCTTCAGAAATGTTTTTTCCACATAATCGTAATTGTGAGACAATACTATATATTTCACTATTGAAAGCATTTAAATTTGGAAAATCCAAGACATATAAATGATTCCAATTATGACGTGCACGTGGAAGAAAAATGGTCTTTTGATGATCAAACCTAGATTTAAGATTCTTCCAAAGTTCTGCAGGGTCTTCCATTTCCAAATATTGATGTTGTAATGTAAGTACAAGATGATGATGAAGGAGAAGAAGTACTTTCCAACAAATAGTAAGAGATATAGAAATACTTGTTGTAGGAGATTCTTCAAACATAATAGCATCTGAGAGTTGTTCTGCAAATAAATTTGCTTTTGCCATTTTTGCCCATAATAGATAATTGTTTCCATCCACAGTCAATGGTGGAAATAAAAGAGCTTGAAAATGTTGAGATGCACTAGTAATAGTTGGAACCATAGTAGAAGTAGTTGAAAATATTGAAGCACTCATTATAAATAAATTTGTAAAGAAAATACAAGATCAAGTAAAAAAGTTGAGTAAAACGTACCTTAAAATATAAAGTCAAATAAATTGATAAACTTGAACTTGAAAAAAACAAATATATATATATATATATATATATTTTAAAGAGAGAGAGTTGTAGATTAAGGCAGTAGAAGAGCGGTAGGGCGGCAGGGTGGCAGCGGCAGACAACTGCGGTGGGCAACGGCAGGCAGCGGCGAACAGCGGCAATGGTAGCGGGCGGCAGTGTCAGCAGCAACAAGGTGGCAGCGGCGGGTTTGGCAGCAGTTTGGCATTTGTTCGGTGACAGGCGCAGGGCGCAGCATGGAGCAAGCAGAGGGTGAAGTTGGGTTAGATCAAGTATTCAGAGCAAACAAAGCAAGGAGTGGAACAAGTGCTCTAAACAAGCAGCTAATGTATGAGGGACCAACAAAAAGAACAAGATCATGAAGCAGACACTAAGCAAGGGTAGCAAAGGGTTTGAAGAGTCAAAGACTAGAGCAAAAAATTGTAATAGTATGTAGAAGAGAATTGTGCTGATAACGTGTTGAGAATGTTTAGAAAGACACAAGAGTAATAATAAGTCATACACACACACAAGAGTAGTAGTAAATCATACACACACAAGAGTAGTAGTAAGTCATATACACAAGAGGGTTTCTAAAGAGAGAGAGCTTCACACACACACATCTATTGATCTGTTTGTGTCTCGTATATAAGAAGAGAAAAAAGAAGAGGATAAACAATACTTCTCCACTAGACTCTAAATACTATAGCTATGGTAATTATTGTAGTCTACAGTAAATATTATGGAGAGCGCCGGCTACATTTAATGATCTCAACAGTCTCAGCATCAATTGAGGATGTGGCTACCGTGGCTTGCTTTTTGTAGGACCAAGTGATGGGTCCTCCTGCGGATTTGAAAATATAAGTTGAGATAGATTTTTGGTAATCAGTGTCGTTTGCCCAGTCTGCATCAATGAAACCAACAATGGTAGGAACTTCTCCTGAAAGATGTCTGCATCAATGAAACCAACAATGGTAGGAACTTCTCCTGAAAGATATGTGATGCCGTGGTCGCTTGTTTCTCTTAGAAATCTCAAAATGTTCTTTGCCGCTTTCCAGTGGAGTACACGGGGATCATGCATATGTCAACTTATAGATCCAACTGCAAACAATATATCTGTTCTAGAATTTTGAAGATAACTGAGTTTTCCAACTAACTTGCAGTAGAGTATTTTGTCCACTGGCTAAGCTTTTTCTTCCTTGCTTAAGCGGAGGCCTTTTGGTATTGGAACTGATAAGTTGTGGCAATCCTTCATTCCAAATTCTTAAGGAATTCACTCGATATAGTTTCTCTAGGTGAGAAAAATTTCCTTGTCTGATGAGATGAATTTTACACTAAGATAAAACTTTATTAGGCCTAGGTCTGACATTTTGATTTTGTGGAGCAATTTTTGTTTGAGTTGGCTTAGTTGTACAAGATTGTCTCATGTTAAGAGGAGATCATCGACGTAGAAGATGAGAAGGAATACTCCCCCGTCATCCCTATGGTAGTACGAAGAGTAATCCGCCTCGGTCCTGGTTAAACCATTTGATTGTAAGAACTCATCTACTTTCTCAAACCAAGCACGGGGTGCTTCCTTGAGGCCGTAAAGAGATTTTAGAAGTCGGCACACTTTTGATGAGCCATGGTGGTTGAAACCTTCGGGGATGAGCATGTAGACAAGTTCTGTAAGATCACCATTTAAGAATGCTCTCTTCATGTTGAGGCGATGAATTTTCCATCAATAGCTGGCAACTAGAGCAATCACAATGCAAATGGAGTTCCATTTTGCCACCAGTGCAAAAATTTCCTGATAACCTAGACCTTCAATCTGCTGGTAGCCTCGTGCTACCAAGTGGGCTTTTAATTTGGTGGATCTGTTGTCGGGGCCGACTTTGGTCTTGTAGATCCATTTGGCAGTCAGAAGATTAGCTCCAGGCGGCAGATCACAAATTTTCCAGGTCCAATTATTGGTTATCGATTCACGTTCCTCGTCCATTGCTGAGCGCTAGCTGGGATGACAAGGTCAATAGTTTCTTCAGCGAGGCCAAAAAATTACTCAACCTTGATTGATTTGACGACTTCAGTGAGGTGTGTGACGCTGTTGCGGAGTCTAGTAGAGAGCTGCCAGGTGCAGGACGGCAGATTGCAAAGACGTGTTGCAAATGTCGGATTGTGATCAATGACTGTGGGTGAAGACGGCGCCATGTCTTGTGTGGGTTGTGATCTGACTAAAGAGGCGGTTGGATCGGAGGCTGTGGTCAGATCATGTTGACAAATGAAACCTTTTTATGTATTTGCCGCTCAATGAGGTGAGTCTGGATTGTGGTATTGTTCTCTATCGAGGATGGGCAGTGGCGGTGCATTGATCCCTTGATGTGATTAGTGGGACTCATCGAACCGCACATTTCAAGTAATTTCTGATCTTTTGTTGTGACGGAAGGAAACAACGGTAACCTTTGGTTTGTTCATCATACCCATCAAAGACCCCTTCTGTGGCGCGTGGTTGGAGCTTATCCCGCTTGTCTTCGTCGATGAAGATGTAAACGTTGCTATCGAAAATACGAACGTTATTGAGTTTAGGCCCTCTCTTATATAACATCTAAAAAGGTATTTTGTCCGGATTCAATCTAGTGGGCGTTTGGTTGAGCAAGAAGGCGGCAGTATTTACTGCTTTGGTCCAAAAAAAACGTGGCCTTCCGGCTTCCAGGTGCATGCTGCGTGCCATCTCCAACAATTTCTGATTTGTTTGTTCAACTATACCGTTCTGTTCGGGAGTGGAAGCATTCGTTAACTGATTCCATAGGTGGAGAACAATGTTGAGAATTTGTCCAATAAAAACTCACCTCTACGATCGGATCTGACTGTTGCAATTTTGGATTTCAGTTGTAATTCTATCATTGTTTTAAAATCACAAAATAATTGAAAGGCTTGTGATTTGGTTGGCAAAAACCTGACCCAGATAAATCTGCTGAAGTCGTCTATGATAGCCATGAAGTAAAGGGATCCTCCGAGTGACTTAGTCAGTAGTGGGCTACTTAAATCGATATGAATTAATTCCAACATCAATGTAGCTTGGGATTTGCTTCGATGTGGAAAAAATCCCAAGGAAAAGCCCAAGATTGTTTTGCAAGCTGGCATGTTCTGCAGATTTTGTCATTAGTTGGTATGTAAGGGATACTTGAGGCGAGTTTATTGGCTGTGAGTTGGTGAAGTCGCTCGAAATTAATATGTCCTAGCCGCCTGTGCCAGAGGCAAGCTAGTTCTACCGTCGAGGAGGCAATGTTAGCCTAAATATTTGTACTTTGTACTATTAGTTGATATAATCCGTTGTGTGGATTGTGTTTCTCTTCGGCCCCGACCTTCTGTAATTTCTTGCTAAAGAGCACACATTTCTCATCATCAAAACATGCTATGCAGCCACGATCAGCGATGGACCCTACTGATAATAATTTTTTCTTGAGGCCTGGGACATACAAAACATTGTGCACACTCTTTATTGTCCCAGAAGGCAATGTGAAGTTTACAGAACCGCAGCCTGTGGTTGAATGATTATGCCTTCCAGCTGTTCTAACGCTTCCTTTAAAATCAGCTAGTCTGTCGAAGTGTTCGCAAGTTCCACTTGCATGCTTGGTAGCTCCTAAATCAAGATACTAGTCTGAGTCATTTTCTTGAATTTCGAGATCTGAAGTAGCTACCTCAAAGATATCTTGGTCGGCAAAGTTGATGTTGTCAGCTAAGATTTCCTCAGACTCTGGTAGATGCCATGATGCTTCTTCTGTAACCACATTCGCAGATCCGAATTTGTTATGTTGTTGGAGCTGCATACTTCGATCTGCTTCGAGCTTGCGTATATCTGTGAGCCATTTGGGACACATTCCCTTCCATTGTCCTTGTTTTCCGTAATAATTGCAATCTCTCTAAGTCTGAAAGTTGGTGTTGTAGCTGGAAGCTCTTCCTAGAAGACTAGTTGGGTTGTGCATGGAATTTGATCTGTTGTTTCGAAAATAAAGAGCTCCGTTGGAGCCGTTGTGTCTGTTATCTTTTACCTTTGCTTTCACTGCACGTCTACTTTCTTCAAGCATGAGGTTAGTTTGTCATTCATTCAGAGGTGGATACTTGCGTGCGCTAGTGTAATGTTGAAGGAAGTGATCGCAACTGTTAGGTACATTCTTGATTACAATCTGAACTAAATCAAAATATGCGATGGTGACTCCTATTGCTGAAAGTTGAGCTCCTAACCTTGTTGAAGTATTGTTCGAATCATGTCTCCTCGCTCATAGTAATGAGGGAGAGCTTGTTCTTCAGATGGTACTTCCGACTGTCTGAATTGACTTCGTAGGTTTTCCTCAAAAAATCCCACAATTCCTTCGGATGATAGATGCTAGTCAGGTTAGCCACAAGTTCTGGTCGAATGGAGTAGATAAGGATATTGAGTACAATCTCATTGTTCTTGTTCGTGTCTGACTCTTAAGTTCCCTTGCCGTTTTTGACTGGGTCCAGGATGCTCCACAGCCGCTCTTTCTTCACCGCACGGATTAAGTAGTACTTCCAGACGTTAAAGTTGGAGGATCCTGTCAATCTGACTTCCTCCGGGACAGGACTGTTCTTTGGCATGATGCTGGATTGCAAACGTTAGTGTAAATAGCCGTATCGGAGAGGAGTACTAGCACATGAGGTAAGGAAGAGAGGGTGAAGTGGGATTCAAAGTTTGAAGAGATGAGAGGGTTGAGGAGTGAGAGAAAGACGCTCACTCTAATACCACAGAAGTGGATATACAGAGAGACCTCGATACAGGATGACTTTACAGTCTGGCAGGTGGTTACTAATCACGGTTAATCTAGTGGACAGTGGACAGTTACCTGGAGGTGAAAGTGTTCACACACCCACTCCGGAGGATGATTCACAAGGAAGCCGAAACCTCATTCCGTTACGAAGGCGGTGCTCTTCTCGAGCACTGATGAAGAAATCTTTGGTAGTTTTGGATCTGAACAAACTGGGTGTAGGAATAGCTGGTTGAGTCCTGTCGCGTCGTTGTCCTTTACACCTGCTGGTGAAGAGCAGATTTTGAGATGTGAATTACTTGTTCCTTGCATCCCACGTTGTTCATCGAGAGTCCTGTTGATTTCCCTTACGCAAATCTTCGCTGTATTTGTACACTAGTTGCAGCAAAATTACACATTTAGCAGTGTTTTACATCTCCATCACTCTTTATGTTGTGCCCCGCTCATGGAGAAGATAACCAATTCTTGACACAGGTGTGCTCAACTTCAATCGATATCTGAGCTGTGACCCACTCCATCACCTTTACAATACTGATTCGTCGTATCCCTTCGCGTAAACCAATTCCCACACTGACTTAATGAGTTGCATTGGGGTAACATTATGAGAGTTTAGAAAGGGAGATCAAAATCAAGAAGAATAAGCCCAAACACACTACTCTGTCCGCAAGCAAATATCTTCTATATCACGCGATGAATGGACTTCATCACTGTCAAGGGTATTTTCCTTCCACGTAAATTCTTGTGGAACGTAACAAGTGAACTGTTTAGATCTGTTATTGTGGAATTTGAGATAAAGGCAGGGGAGATATAAGATGATTTTTTAACAATAATTCGCTTTCCTGCACAAATTCCTGTTAGAACTTGATGAGGAATTGATGTGACAACTAACTTGTCTGACGCTGTCTCTTAATCGTCCCAACTAATGTGCGATTAATTCATCTTTATTTGTTACATTTTACCTGAACACTGAGAGACAGACTTCAAGCATCAGCAGCTTCGAGCTGTATATTAACGCTCCAATCTCCAAAGGACTTCTCCAGTTCCATGAATAACAGTCAGAAAAAATTGCACGCAAATGAAAAACGAAAAATTTGCACTGATGAATTCACTCACAATAATTTGGGTAATTAGCAGCCTATGATCAAATATATTACAGAACAGTCTGACTACCATATCAACAATCTCCAGGAGCAGAAGCAGGAATTATTGCAGACGCAGCTTGAGTCAACTCAATGCTTCTGACATGTCCTCAATATCTAACCTGCTTGTGGGCGCTGGTGAGCCATGGCTTGTAGCCGGAGAGTCACTGAGCAAGCTCCAATTAGGTAGTTCAACCATGGATTTTACTCCACGTACAGTCGGGGGAGTCTGAAGAGAGGAGAATTTTTTATCAGGAAGAGGCGAGACTTTAACTAAATTATTGTTTATCCCAAGTGGTTTGGGTCGTTGAGTAATAACCTCGGGACTGTCTAAAACTATACAGGGTTTGTCCTCGGACAAGTCGACAACAGGAGTTCGAACGACCGACAGAGATTGCCATTGCACGGCGATGTTCTCCTTATTGCCAGCAATCAGCTCAGCCTCTCTGAGATCATGCTCAGTTTCATTAATCTTCTTGTCCAAGCTAGTTCCATGAACTTGCACCCTCGAAAGCAGTGCCTGCGAAGCACATATGATCAGGCAGTGTCATATCAGTTCTCTGTAGTACAAGGGGGTACACGAATCTGAATCATACAGAGAAATAGAATGTAAACATACAGATAGAGGAGACTTGCATGCTGCTTACCTTATCATCAAGAGTTCTATAAAGCCGTTCTAACTTGCTCCTCAAAAATTGCACCTTAAGCAAATTGTCATTCGCATTACTACGGGGTTGTAAACCCTTGGGAGCACTTCTTGACAAAATACTTCGCCTGTTCCAACCCAAAGAGCACCTCACTTACCAATTAGTCCTCAAATCCTTGCATGAGGATGAAGGAAGAAGCTAGCTGCTGACATCCAAGATGGATCCGAGAATGCTTTGAAGACAAACCCTTTAATGATACGATGCTCACTCAAAGAAAAAGAGGTTAACGTACCCAACGGCCTGTGAAGTTTCCTGAACATATTTTTCAGACTTCGAGGCTGCTTTAAAATGCTGCTCCACATATGAAGAATTCCTGTTGAAGAAGCAGTTTGTGATTAAAAGTGTTGCTGATGTCGTGCCCCAAAGACATCAGATGACTCAAAATCTGACGCAGAGAAGGTGACTGAATAGCTCACCTAGGTTCCCAGGAAGCTTTCAGGTCTTCATCCTCGTCATACCCAGGTGGAGGCAATGGTTCTGCTTTAGTAAACAGAAGATCATGGTGGCTTACCCCAGCAATGCCCAACTCCGCTAGAAAGTGAATGTGCTCCCCCAGCTCTTCATCTCTATAACACACAAAAGAAATGTCGTGAACATAAAAAGACTGCTCTAAGAGGACTATTAAAATTCTAACTTTTTTCGCAATTTGATATAGGTCCAGATCACCTCAAAATCGTCCATTTGAGTGTTAAAAAGATGGTACACCTACTCTGAGAAAATGAGGAAGACGTCAAGAGTAAGTAGAAAAATTTATAGATTACAATCAAAACAGCTGGCTTACATCTTATACTGCCTGAAATGCTCCTTGTGGAGCTGCTGTTGAGTTAAAGACACCCTAAAGCCTGCTTCAGGTACTTTAAACATTTCTCCTAGTTCCTGTACAAAGTAACCCCCTACGGAACATGAGAATCGCAACTTAATTCGCAAACATTGCTGACCACTTTCTCTGCAGACTCATTACGAAAACGAAGATTTTGGAATTGGTAAAAGCACAAACCCCTTGCGAGAAATATCGCATTTGATTCTTTTTTTCCGTAGCTACTTTCATAAGGTGACCCTTGAAAACCTGTAACGGACGGGAGAACGAGTTTAGAGAATATTATTATTTGAATCGAATTAGAAAGTAAATCCATGAAAGAAACAAAGAAACAAAGATAAATACTGATTCAAACCCAGAGGAACAGCCTCATGCAAAGAGGATTCAACATCCTTAAGCATAGAATGGCTAGAAATAGTGAACTGTTGTGACGAATTCAGTAACCAAGAGTTTCTTACTTGCTTGCGGTATATCTTTTCTTCAATAGTTCCACATGTCATGAGCCGATAAACAACAACATTCTTCTTCTGACCAATACGGTAAGCTCGATCAACACTCTGGTTGTCAGTACTGTTTGCAAAGCAGTGCTAGTCTGTTAGCTGATTGATCGAAATGCTAAATAGTAGACCACCAAACCGAATGGTGACATTTCGAAATAAGACGAAAAAGGAATCCACATACAAACCAAGTATGAAAGTCTCAGACAAAAATGAAAGTAGTAACCTTGGGTTCCAGGCAGGGTCAACAATCACCACCCTGTTGGCTCCAGTTAGTGTAAGTCCTAAGCCTCCGACTTGAGATGTCAACAAGAAGAGCGGTATGTCGTTATCAGATTGGAATTCCTGTAAGAAGTCAATACCACATGCATAAATCGTATGAAACTGACCCAGACAGCAACCCGTGGGCGCACTATAAGTTCACATCTTGCCTCAATCTCAGCTCCATGAACTCCTGAAGCCTGTGAATTTTATCCTAAAATGCATTACATCATAATTGTAGAAGGGGGACAAATTTATACAGCGTGTCTTTCTACCCTGAACTAAAGGTCTGCTTGATGAAATCGAGCGTCCAAAGACAGCAAGAATTACTTCCAAGATGGGGTAAATCTACGAACTTGCACACATTGTTCTCGATCAGCTGCCTTGATGGTGCCGTCAATACGTCTGAAAATCCATCCTCTATCAAGAATTTCATCCTACAAAATGGAATCACCTCCAAATATCGTCAGATGATACGATTTTGGCAGTAGTGATTGTGGTCGGAGGGTGCATTACCAAATCTCAAGATCATATTCACTGAACAACTGAATAAGTAGAAGCGCACCACGGAGAAAACGCCGAAACTAGAGAGATGACCGAGCAACGGATATGCAAGAGATAGATACCATAAATCAGTAGTTCAAATATGTACCTGAATAATGTCCAGCATCTTCCGAGTTTGGGCAAATATGAGAGTGCGATGGCCTTCGGTAACTAGGTTTTCCTGCACGTTAACGACCCCAGATTAGCAGACTTCGGTCAGAATTTTTCTGGAGTCACAACAGATACCGGAATATGAAAACTGAGATAGAAGAGCGTAGAGATTTGAGAAATATTACTAGTAAGGCCATGAGGAAATCGATCTTGCAAGAAGCACCGTGCACGCGATCATCCTCAACCATGCCAGCTAATGAACGAGTCATGGCTTCAGCAGCTTGAATATCTTCACCGTCCAAGTAGCCTTCCATGCCTTCGGCGATGTCAATTGCAGCCCTTTTTGTGAGCAATGATGGATGATCGCAAATCTTCTTCATCACCTGGATGAGAGAAATGTATCACTGAGTTTTCTTAGAAATAAACTCACTGGGTCTTACATATGAGCGATAACATTCTGTCTCTCTAATGGCAGGTACTATGTAACACGCCCATTACGTCAATAATCCAGCGTGCAACAAATGCTAGCAATGTTACTGTGAGAGCATCGAGCAAACTTAAACATAAAATCTAGTACTAAAGAGCTGATGCCACGTACTGTAAGGGCGGAGAGAACTCTTGTCCCCGTACTCAGTGTTTCTTCAGCTGCATTACTGTTCAAGAAAGCCCGATATAATCTCTCCTGCAGGAGCACTCAAACCAAATGACCAGGACCATGAGATATAGCACAAGTTCATACGCGAAGGGTGATGACAAGCGCTGAATAAGAATAAGCACGTTCATGCACGAACAACATAAAACGACTTGACTTGGGAATGGTTACAATGAAATTAACCTGGCATTTAGACAGGGGCAGCCAGACGATGAGGTCATTCTTCTTAGATAATTTTCTTTCCTCTAGATTGTTCGATTCCGGGAAGACTTCACTTTTCAGACGGCGAAGGAAGTAGGGAGCGAACTTTTGTCTTAACTCCTGAAGGTGCGGAAAGTTTCAATCAGACGCATTAGCAATGTAAGGGGAGAAGAAAACTTGGGTGTAGTGAAACAGAACACCGCTTCTGAAAGTAACGAGATATTAGATTAGTGGATGAGCAGTCGCATTTCGTGGTGGAGAACTAATCCAAACTATGGCGACCTCAAAATTGCATGACGGGAATAATTAACCTCTGCAACTTGTATTCCAATTCGTTTTTGTCGATCAGACGCATTCTTGTCGGTCCCAGCCAGGATTTGGCGCTCGTACTTCTCCCTAAACCTGAAATCCAAACTACCAGTTACATGAGGAAGGAATTTCGCATATGTAGCGCAAGTCTCCTTGCTATTCTAATGCTCTCATCCTCATCAACATAAAAATCTTGTTGAAAGTTCTGGAAACGAAACACATACTCTTTCCGATCTCCGAGAAGGTTGGGGCAGCAGAAATCGAAAAGTGCCCACATTTCCTACACCAAAATCAAGAACAGTAATTGAAGAAGTCAAAAGTCACTCTGGGCTGCAACACGGAAATGTAACATCTTCCAATTATCTCTAAGGACAAGAAGGGAGCAGTAGAAAACCACTAGGACGCGGGCAGAAGGAAGACCTTACCTGAAGATGATTCTGGATCGGAGTGCCACTTATAACAATGCGATGGGCAGCAGGAATGGCTCTCAAGCTTTTGGCACGCTGAGTGTTCGGATTTTTCACAAGATGACCCTGATATATCGAACATTCAGCAGAATCAGTAGGTCACTGCTATGGAGTCGACAAGAGTAGACTAGTTACTTTATAATTCAATAAGAATGCCATAGACGAACAAAGAAAGGCGCCTGCGACCTGAACAATTATTTCGGTTAAGAGTGTTTTTGATTCTCTTACGCACGTTACCGAGGTCTTCACTGGATCTAGAGGTACTACATAGTTAAATATCTTGAACAATTTTAAGCGTCATAAGTTTACTTGAGCTTCATGCTCATTCTCTTCTAACTGAAATTTCACTCCAGGTTTAGATACTCCTCAGGGAAAGACCTGAATGTCAACCCTGATGAGAGCAAATTCTCCCGGAAGGATGGGGCATATTCCTTCCTAATTACCAATTATATAAGGTAAATGAAAGAATATGTTTGATGAGCGGGAAAAACCTCGTCTAGAATTATGTAGTCCCAAGTAATGATGTCATCACTTGCGTCTCCGAATCCATCTCTTCCATTGTAATCTCCTCTAAGAGCCTTGAAGTTGCAGCGGACCATGTCGTAGGTTGTGAGCAATACTCCTCCCATTTGTAAGACGTGTGATAGAGCAGATTCGCGTACTTTAACGGACGTACCCGAATAACTGCATGATTGTGACTTTCGTACATGAGAGATGGAAGATTTAGAAGGGCACTGGTAACATGCAGGAGCGTATCGTAAACGTTTACCCGCTAACAATCGCCAACAACCAACAAGATGATAAACTCATGTAACTAGAGTAAGCTAAACTCACTCTTGCGTTTTGCGAGAGAGCCCAACCACCTTGAGCTCTTTCACCCAATGTGCAATAAGCGTCTTCGGAGCGACAATAAGAGCACATTTGATGTTTTGGGTACAGAAAAGTCCAGCAAGGAATGAAGCGACCTGTAAAAATGAAGATCAGATCGGAAGTTTTACGATAGATTCTGTGGTATACAAGAGTTCTAATTCAAGGCTGCAGAAAATTAGTAATCCACTAGGTCAAACACTCGAAGCTGAGACAAGTAACATCATAGCCTTTGCAAAGTGGGGTAACACGCGGGAAGGAGATACTGTAAAGGATATGATATACATATCACCACCAAGGTCACTGGGGACTCATGAATACGTTGAGAATGATTAAATATAAAAGCTACCTGCAGGGTTTTACCAAGTCCCATGTCATCACCGAGGATACCGCCCATCCCTTTAGTGTGCAGACTCCAGAACCATTCTAGTCCTTTGCGTTGATGTGGGTATAGCATGTTTGCAATTTTCGCCCTGAGAGTGAATCGATGCTTTCCTTTAATCAACACCATATCCTTTTCTTCATTATCTGCTCTATCACCCTCGTTGCTAGTATGAGTAGCTGGCGGAGACTGTAGCCCAGATGTTACTGCTGCAGACAAGCTCTCGGTGAGATGATAAATTTTTGGATAAATTTGGGTTCAAAACTAATTAAATTATATGATCAACACCTTCCTAAAATGATCACCACGAGGCTTTTTTGTGTACAATCAGGTTGGTTACCAATTATGATCAGGTTTGTTACATCACACTACCTGTTGCCCTTCTCTCAATCTTTGGAGGTGATACGAATGCCGCGTCGTCGTCATCGTTATGATAATCATCATAGTTAGAGGAGCGGTGAAACTGAGTGGTCCAGGATGGAAAGGTCTTTGACAGCACACCCGGTTGATTAATTTTCGACTTGGTTTTCGATACAAAAGGAGAGTCCACATCACCGTCATCAGCTGAGGTATAATCTACAGAAGGAGAGGAAGCTGCGGGGTCTAGGCTAGCAAAGCTCTCGTCTTCGGAGTCAGTCTCCAAGTCAACAATCGTTGACTTGCTGGCCATTTGTTTCCTTATATTCAAAATGAGGTCCTTCGGCTTTCTTTCGAACTGCTTCTCCACCAATCTTGATCTATCGACGCTATGACCTCCACTCTCGTCTTTTAAACTTATCTGATCAAGGACAGAGCTCAGGTCTTCCACTGCTGTAGCTCCAGAAGAAGAGTTCTTTCGATTCAATCTCTGATCAGACGATCCTCGCCCATCACTAACATAGTTGGAGTAACTTGAACCTGAAGAACCCAAAGAAGTAATCCTTAAGCTGCACTACCATAACTCGCAGTCCAATTCAAGCAAGAGATTCATCTTTAATGCATCAAATCATGCCTCAGATTCAGAAGTCCTGTGAGTGAGCGGCACATTCGTTTCAGCTGGAAGGCAACATATTTCTACTCGATTTCAAAGAATGACTGAAATTTCTGACGTTCACCACCATACGTACCTGCAGGAGAGGTACTGCTGTCTGATTCGTCAACATCATCCCCACTCAATTCGCTCGCATCGGACGATTCTGGAAGAATCATGGATGCAGCCTTCCTAGCCTCGGCATAAAAATGCTTGCCATTCTCATTTAGAACTTCGTCTGCATGACTATCCCCAGTTAGAAATAACGGTTCCCTTTCTATCATCTTCATTCACCTGCCTACAATGACAAATGAATACATTCATGGAGTTCATGATCGCGGTTGAAATCTCACCAAATTCCTATTGTTCCTATGACTGACCATCCAAAAATCTTTGAGACGTTCTTCTTCAGGTATTGCACACATGAGACCATGCCATTCTTAATAAATTAACTAATGTATATCTAGATAATTAAGAAAATGATGAAATCAAAATTTCGAATACGCACATCTACCCTGCGAGTAACATCTAAGGTTTCGGAATTCTTAGGAAAATACCATTAAGATTCATACCACGAAAATTGATTGTAGTGATGCTTTATTCAAAGAGTGTAACTTCCATCACAATGAATGCGACGCACTTAAACACACTCCAAAACAAAGTATTATAGGTCTCCACGCACAACCGCTTTTGAGGGTGAGGATATACCAACCTGGGCGTCGAGAGGGTGTATTAATGCTGCGGAGAAGCTGAGCTTGGCGACGAGCTGCAATAGCTTGAAGAAGTTCAGCTTTTGAATGCCGAACAGCGGACTTCGCTTCTCTCCGAGGCCGAGCATCCGCTCTTCCATTATCTCCCATTACCCTCTCCCTTCTTGTTATGGCTGCTAAATCCTACAGACTGATCCCACACTCAGAGCCGATCCTCAGACTCATACAATCCTCTCCTCGCCCACGCAATCCTCATCAAGACATGGCAAGTATCTGCAATCGGAGCAGGGTTAAGGAGCCGCGAGCATCAAACCATCAATCTGCCAAATTCCAACAACGACCCATCACACCCTAAATGCAAGGGATTGCAACTCGTCTCGCCCCGTCTAAGACTGGTAATATCACTGAGGTTTGAAATTTGAATGACGTGACGAGCCGTCAAGGAGACGGGGGAACAGTTTGAATGGAACCCCAGCGCGGAGGGCCGTTGGTGAAGACCCACGTGGCGGAGCTTACGTGGACGCTACCTGTCTGGGTTCTGTCTGTTCGAATTCGTTTCTCAGCAGTCAGATAGGAGGTTCTCATATTCTCTGCCGTGTTCCGCTAAGTCTCGGAACATATGCAAAAGAGACTAGTACGACATTATCAACAACAAGAAGTAAAATTTGAGAGTTGTTGTAATGGCATCGGACATAGTGTCTGTGTGGTTAAAATTTGAATTTAGTGCAGGGTGTAAATAAAGTCGGTTTGAATGAAATCGTGTTTCATCACACCAGTAAATACAAAAAGTATGACTAAAAACATTTCCAAATTGTACAAAAAGGTGAGTTCAGAATCGAACGAAAAGTTGGACAAACAGACTGGGGTGGCTTGAACAAGTGTACATAAAAATCCAAGGAGTTAAACGTCAGAAGGCACACTTGTGCTTTCAAAGATGATGCACTCTCACAGGGACTGATGAGAATTTATCAATGAAAAGTATGTGTAGCAAAGCAGCTCGCTACAATACTCCTCTTCAGCAGAAATACCAGAGCTCACTTCTCACCGCCTGCCACCACTCTTCTTGCAATTGAACTTTCACTTTGAAAATTCCAGCATATCTTAGTCAAAATCCCTGTCAGACCTCTCTCTCTACTTCAAAAAAGAGATATCTCTACAGCTAGCTAGATCTCCACAATTTTTGATTCAGAAATGAACCGTCTTCCAAGTTGACGAGAACGAAATGCACATTAACATACAGCTTCACAAGGGTCAGTTCCTAAACTGTCTCCTTATACCAAACAATAAGAGCAGAAGCCCTGCTCAAACAAAACACCTACTGATCTTACAATCGTACCTGTTTTAATTCCCCTGATCTAAACCCTAGTAACAGAGTAGGGGAAAACAACAAAAATCTTGGAAGAAAAGATGCATCTTGGGTATTACCGCATATGGAATCTGCAAGTTTCCTAATACTTGCGATTTCTGTTCATGCTTTGATGCTCTCAGACTCATAAAATCCCAATCCTACTCTCCCATCCCTGGTCAGTTCGACAGTGTCAACGTGAAAGCATGATCTGCGATCTGTCACAACATTAGCAGTTGTGGTCATTACCAAACTTGAACCAGGGCACATCCTCATTAAGATGACTTGGAAGACGAATCTCTCATGGATACGACCATCACAGGGATAATGCATAGCCTGTGACAGTCATATTCCTTTAGCTAATGAACTCAGGCAACCAAGCTACTTGTCAAGTGTTAGGGTTGGCACCCTGGGCCGGTATTGGGACTCCGATCCGTGCTGGGCTGTTTAAGACTGGCTGCACTTGCAACACCATCAACAATGTGACAATAAGTCATGCTGCTCCGTTGGTACCCATAAGCCTCTAGGCGTTTCCAAGTAGTCTCCCGCATTTCTTCCACCCCTTGAGCCTTGGCTTCATCTTCTAGATACTTTCGCTGGCATTCTATAAACAGTTCCTGGTCCATCTCCAGGAACATTTTTCGTACATTGAGCGTAAGTCCGTGAACGGCCTGATTCCAGTGACTTCTTGTATTTCTTTCCAAAGCAGGAAAAATGATAGGTAGCACGACATGGCAGTTCTGGGCCACCAAACTCACGATGTGATCGTTGTTCCACAAGAACAGAGCCCGTTCTGCAACCTGTATTTCACAATATTAAACAAACTATGCCGTGAGAAGGTAAATATATTTCAAAACAGAAATAGTATCCTTTTATACAACTTGAGCAGATTAAACCATTCGTTAACGATTCCAATTTCAATATATCAAAAAGAATCTCCCTGCTAAAATGATCCACAATTCAGGCTTTCACCTCCGTCCACATTAGAAATTCTTGGAAAATACCTTATGAACAAATAGTACAGCACATCATGCTACTGCGTCGAACCCATCATGGAGGAAAAACATCAACACCTCAATACATGCATGAATGAATGCCATGGGATCAACCCGACACACACACACACACACAGCGAGAGAGAGAGAGAGGGAGAGAGCTTAGTGTAAACCGTATCAGATTACGAACTAAATAAAACACTGTAACCCCACAAAAGGTTACGTGCCACACCTGAAAGTGCGAACTGTTCAGACAACGACCCAACTGTCGAAACAACGGCACCATGCACCGCTGAAACTCCCTGCTCTGTGTCGCCTCCAATACCTCTTCCAACTCTCCCAGAAACAACACCTCCTTCTGGCTGTTCGTCAACGGCCAGTACCGCAGCAGACCCCGTATTACCACGTCCGCCAGCGTATAGTCCTTCTCCACGAACTGGATTATGCAGTATGAAAGCTGCTGGTGGTACATTGACACGCACTTCGGCTTATGCAGTGGTATCAGCGCCCGAACCAAAAACAACTTGTGCTCTTCCTTCAGCGGCAGCGCGAACCCGTTGATGATGCTCCCCAATATCTCAAGAAGTTCTGCGACCCCATTGTGCTTCTCCGTCTCGAATATAAACCTGTAAAATATATTGTTAATCGCCTTCCGAATGAATGGCCTGTGCACCATGAACTTCCCATATATCCGGTGCAGTATCGTCTTCAAATATTCCCTCTCTCGCGGGTCTTCGCTGTCGAACAAGTCCAGCAGCCGAAGCACGAACGAGTGGTCAATGTACCGCTTCGCTAGCTTCGCATCCGTCTCACTTGACACCACATACCGTAGCAGAAACTCGTACACAATCTGCAGATGCGGCCACGCCGGCTCCATCGTCGGCTCCTCCTCCTCCGGATCGAAATTGTCCGACCCGGTGTTCTCGTGCGATGACGGCGGGAGCGTCCGGAACAGATTCGCAGCCAGCATCTTTGTGATGTCCTCGAACACTGTCTCTGTGAACTTCCCTGTCCCAGACGTCACGTAGTCTACAAGTTCCAAAAGCGTCTGCCGCTTGATTTCCTTCTCTCTCACATTCTTTGACGGATCCGTAAAATCAAACGTATGGCAGCACAGCGCCAGCTTCCGCACAAACAAGCTCTGCCTGTCCGACGTCGGCACGTCTCTGAATGATGGCAGAGTTTCGAAAGCTCCGTTCGGCATATTACCTCCAGCTGCTCCATATCGGCCCGCCGGTTGCATGGCGGAAGGTGGCCCTCCTACGGCCTTGGGGGGAGGAACACCCGCTGCTGGTCCTGCTCGAGCACCATTGCTGCCACCTTTGGTACCCGCTGCCTGCCCTGCGCTCGCCGGAGATCCTGAAGATGACACATTTGGAACTACACCAGCTGAACCAGATGCATCCGTTTTCTCATCGTTTTTCCCCTTGCTTCCCCGCTGGATCACGCGCTTCAGCTTGAAAACCATGTCTAGGTGGTTCCCTGATTCCTTAGCCGATTCCTCAACAAACCAGACCCAAAACAATACTCTCGCGATTTCCAAACTGCTTTTCCAGTTCTCCCAGAGGCAGCATTTGCGGCTCACACTCGCCCTAAGCCGTCACAACAATCCGCATCGACCAATTGCTAATACGTCTGCTCTTGAGTTCCACTCCTTCACGGAATCGACATCCCATGCTGCACCTTCGGACTCCGATAAAGCTGCCTCCACCTACCCGGTAAGCGCTCGTTAACCAACCACATCCACAAACTCACAACGTTGTCCAGTGGCACCCGTCAAACTTCAACAAAGATCCCGAGCAATCCAAACTTCGATGCCAGGATTCACCAAGCACCCATCCATTTCGTTTCAGCGCACGTGACCTATGTCACCACCCAATTCTGCTGCTAACCTAAACAGGTTCCTCTTGCCTTTTAACCCGATGGCGCCGATATATGTAAAGACACAGAGAGATATAGATAAAAATACGAATACATCACATCATATCAAACCCACAATCCAGAAGCTTCCCCAACCTACTTCTGGCAACCGAAGCAAGCCTTCAAGCCTCCACCTGAAACCTGTCCGCCCTCTCAGTTCCCCAACACCATGTCTCCGATCCGCTGCAACACGGAGTGCCAAACCCTGGGGGGGGGGGGGGGCTCCCACCCAAAAACCTGACGAATCTGAAACAACAAGTTACCCCTACTGGCACCAAGTCCTATCCTACAAGTCGTCGCCTCTGGAAATCGCACTTGTATCAAAACAACCCAAAACCACCTCGAGTATCGATTCGGCCAACCAACCTCGCCTCCTCGACAGCGAAATACTACAAATCCAGAGCATACTCACTGCTGCAACGACCAGTTATAGGATATGCCAGTAAAACACCTTGACCAAGCCTGACAATGCAGAAGAAGAGTGATGTCAAAGAGGTCAGTCAGGACGCGCAAGGGTGCCAACCCTGGCGATGAGGGGGGAGGGAAAACCAGCAGGCAGAGAGGCCGAGCCTGGCAAGGGGCCTCGAAGGAAAAGGAAGAAGAGAGAAGAACGCAGTGGCGCCGCGACACTCACTCACGCTCTTCAAAGGGAACTGAGCTCCGCGCTGGAGCGACCTTTCTTCTAAGTCTCCGACCTCACTCACTTACTCACTCACTGACTCCTCTCACACTTTCACTCGCTCGCTTCCTTCAGCGAGCTGGACTTGTATGTGGGAGCGCAGTAGCAGCAGAGCACCAGGAGCAGCATCTACTCATCACGCCCCACCTCATCAATGTGTTTCACATCCTTCGAAGTCTGTTGTGAATGGTAGAAATTTTATTTTTTTATTTTTTTTATTTTGTAAAGGGAGAATGATTTGTCTTGTTGCATTACTACCCCGAACATGCAATATCCTTCAGCTTTTCAAAGCAATTCCTTTCTACACGTTACATGTTCTCTGTTTTCTATTTTATTTTTTCTGTTTTTTCTTTTACTGGGTAGGAAAGTTGACATACACTTGCCACGTCGTAGTAAGATTGGAATTGTTGAAATTCCCTTCGTAGAAAAAAGAATGTTGCTGGAATGGATGAGGGATGTGTTGTCATATCCTATCAGTGCCCCCGATGGGCTTTACTCAGCGACCAGATTGTTGCGTCTGAATCATGAATCTACAAGTCAAAAGCATGATTCTACTCGTGTAATAGCAACAAGAATCAACAATTAGGGTTGTTGTTGCAAGCATTCTTAGTACCAAACTAACAATTGGATGCAATCCAGAAGGATTTTCATCTTCCTCTCCCTCTTCCTCTTCTTCGTCTTCTACAACGTTTTTGCCCGGACCCACAGCTCGTCCATCGGATTTCAGACTCTTGCATGAATCGAAGTTAAAATGGTCGTGATCACCAGAATATGGTGAGTGACGGTGATGCCGCAAGGACCTTGACTTCCCACAGGCTGGAATGGATCGTGATGGGCCTGATGGGATACAATGATGGTGGATCGCGTCAGGGAGATTCGATGATGACCATGGAGTCCTCGACCCGTCGCCACCGGAATCTGCATGAATTCCCCTCAATGCTCTGCTTCAGGCGAAAGAGTGCATGCGTGCCACAAGCCATAGCGAGCGGGCTTGCGTGTGCATCCCCACAGAATACGAGCATAGCGACTTTCAGGAGCTCATCAATGGGCTGCTGGTACACAAAAGAACGTGACAAGGAAATCTACCTGCATTTCAGCTGCCCTACTCGTGGCGATGTGTGGCGATGTGTGACGCTGTCAGAATGAGCTTTTCAGGAAGAAAGTTGATTTTGGATGCGCTCTCAGATTGCTGTGCTGTCGGTTTCTGGGTGTTGCGTGAGAGAATAATCCCTGTGGGTCATGGCTGTCGACATATGCTGCGGAGTTGGTCTCGTCAGGTCGTGCGGGTGCGCGCGTAAGCTGCAAGGTATTGTAGCAACGTAAGGTCTTATGTTGCTTCATTTTGGGTGAGAATTAAGTTTCCTCGTTAGCGTAAGCTGGGGGTTAAGAGGGTGCCGGTTTCCGCCGTCATACTGTGGGTGCCCTGGACAAGACAATTTGTGGCGAGATGTGCGCTTTCCAAATTAGTTTTGGCTTTGCGCGTGCAGCATTTGAGACATTGGCCAACTGGATTTGTGACCGGGAGATTCGAATTACAACTGCAAGTGTGCTCAAATCAGCAGTCTCATACTCCATATCTTACCAAGATAAAGGAGTTCTAAATCTCTCGGTATCTGAGCCGGCTTCTCACTGCAGCGTCTTTAGGTTTAGGGAACATTGTGCGCAGAGTTGATGAGCCTAGGGTTGCTAGTGGAAGTGTAGGACACTGGCTTCTGGAATGTAGGACCCAGGAGAGATCCGTTCGACGTGTGTTGAGCACTGTGCAAAATTGGACACGTTCAATGGGTTGTGACGTAATGTTTGTGAGTGTTCCCTTTCCCATCTTCTCCAATGGCATTGCAGATCATTTAAGTCACATATTTCTTTTTCTTTTTTCCTCTATTTGCATCTTACTAGATTAACTAAGTTATTTTTCTAGAGAGGAGGGCTCACTGAACACCCACGTAATGGCGCAGGATGGCAACTCTAGTTCTCAGTTCTACACCTACTGCATGAGCTCAGAGGTCGGTGCGCCGCGGCACGAGCTTCCGGGTTTGCAAGGCGGGAATCTAAATACTTTCTCCGGCTGTAACCATCTCTGCATCGGCGCGCGCATGAATTGCCTTACGCTTCTGTGTTTTTTTTTTCCCTTCCTTGACTTGATTGTTGGTGGCGCGTATTTCTCGTGATCACAGAGCAATTCTCTCCATTACGAATAGGTTTATGCAGGCAGTTCTGGGCCTACATACAGACCCGTATGCACCCCGAGGTTGTCAACCATAGATTCCGCGGGTCATGGTCAGTTCTGGGAGCATTCTTCACAAGTTTCACGCGATTTTGTAGCAGTGTTTCGCATCAACGACACCTGGATTGTTTGGTGCGTGATTGTGTGGAGGTCGCTGGGACCTCCGCATTGTCTTAACCTCAACGGAGTGATCTATCCCTTGTCAAATTTTGACGCTTCTTCGGCTCCGGTTTATACTCCATGCACCAGATCATCTTGGTTCGTTCTCTGCTCTTTCAATAAGCTAACAGTGACCTCAAATTGGCACAGCTGAACCGGTATGTCCACAACCTTTCTAAACCTACAGTCTCTGGGAGGGAATGCCCTAGTGACCTAAACAGCAAATCTAACTTCGTGAGGGGCTTGTTGTCATCAAAACTCAACTAATTCCTTTGGCAGTAGCATGTTGTACTTTGCAGCTTGATGATGTATTGCTCTTTGGCAGATCACAGAGCTCTAGAATGTGGATCCACATCCATAATCTCGGTGAAGCCTTTTCTTCAGTGCCTCGGAGTGCTGTTGAATCGTAAGCTTGTGTGTGAGCTTGTCGCCATTGCCAGCATCACATGATTCATGAAGGTAACCTGCCTTTGCACTGCTTCTGATATCAGAAGAATTGTCAAAGGATATCAGAAGAAGAGCCTTAAACATTGCAGTACTTATACATGTAGTAAACCTGTCATTTGATTCAATGTTTTTATGCTTTAACTGTGGGTTGTTCGTATGCAAGCTAATACCATATTCACTTAGGTAGTTCTAAGAGCTTTGATATGGAGGAGAGATAGGAAAGTTGGAGAGAGTTTTTGTGTAGATGCTAGAACAAGTGAAAAACTCGGAGGTTTAATAGGATTTGGGTCTACTACAACCATTGTCCAATGGAGTTACTAAAAAAAATACTTATAGAAGTGTCAAAAAATTTAGAAGTCTTGGAAAAAGGTAAGTTCTATATTTTTGATATAAACACTTCAATCTCCAGAACCAAAATAAATGAATAAAGAAAGAAAGAAATAAGAACTGATTTTATTGTAATATGATTTTTTTCGTAAGCATTGGAACCCAAAAATTCAAAACCCAAAAAAAGAAAAAAGAATAAGTTATTTATTTTTATATATAAATATACACATACACATCAGTATTGCAATGACTTAAGAATCAGAGTCTTTTACACTATCCCTCACTACATTCCAGAAAATACTAGAAGGGAAAATTTGAAGAAAAGGGGAAACACGTTAGTTAGGTGTATAAACTTCCAACACCTATAGATCATGTAATTCCAAAACTATGTAAAATTCCAGGCTATTGTAAGTAATTATCCTAGTTGGAGATTGGAGAATGAAGTTGGTCAAGCGATAAGGAGTCGATAAGAGGAACGGCAAATGCAGGATTAGATCAAATGGTGTTTCACTAATGGAAGAATGGAGCTTGCACAGCAACATTCGAAACAATGAGGTAAGACCCCCGAAAAAATACCAAACAAAAGCGTCGAAACATGCAGTTCGAAGGTGTGAATCCTGATCCTAACGATGAAAATCATGAGAGACCAGTGAATTTATCTGCTATAAAGATTTAAGACTGGTTGCTGTGGAAGGATACACATTATTCCGCAAGCACTGAAAGAAAGCTAATATCAGAGTTATTGTGAATTAATCTCCACGAGTTGAAGCCTCGTCTTTCTTTTAAGGTGAGAACTTCGAAGTTTGCTGATAGAAAGACGACCAAACGTGGGTACGCATCGCAATATGAATACATCGCTCTTGTACAGTCTGGATCTCCGACTCCAGCCTGCCCTTAGAGAACCCTGCCAGCTGCAGTGACCACAGAGGAGCTTCTCGCATCAGATTTTGAAAGGAGCCACACACTTCGTGGTGCTCCTGTGGCGGAGGCAAGCTTTTCCTGAATTAATGGTGATAAACGTGGCTTTTAATTTCAGCAAAATGTTTCCAGGATTGGCACATGCACGTAACTCTGAGAAGCACAAGGTCTCTATGCAAATCTAGACAGGCCCATATGCTGAGGAATGCCATGTGAAGGCCAATTTCAGCAACGGATTATACTGCAATGAAGGACTAGCTCACCTCGTCAGCATGGCTCGCTGGGAGGAGATTCACGGAGGAACTTCAATCGATGCAATTCTCGCAGACAGAGACTAACAGCACGCCGACAAAGCATCGCAAATCTCCTCTGATCCAGTATCTTACATTGAGATAGAGATTTTAAGATTGTAGGATTGAGTTGAGGCAAGAAATGTGGTCTCCTGACTTCTTTGCACATTGCAAGTCATCTTAAAAGTCTTTGTGCAAGCTTACGGCTTGTGTACGTGCCGTTACCTCTGAGTGTTGACCTACATTTAGTTCCATTAAACCACTCATTGAGTAGCTCCGAAGACATTAAAATCTTTTAGTAATGGATTGCAAGCCGAAGTCAGAACCAAAGAGTTTTGTTCTTGTTGTTTCTGAGTGTGTGGGACATCGATGAGACTCATCTTCTATAAATGACCTTTAATGTATCAACATAATATGCTATGCTTTGATCAATCGCTGGGAAATAAACGAGCAATACTGGAAACATACTTGACTGTGGGCACTTGAAAGTTGGAACATACCCTCTTCATCTCTGAGTCTAACTCCTAAGGTCTTCTATATGTTTCTATCTTCTCGAAATAAATTGAATTGCAAATGAAAGGCCAGTGGCCTTATAAACATGTGAGCAGATAATATGAATTGCCTCAACGAGGCCTTGACGCAATGACGTATAAATGATACCTGAAATTTAATGAAGTCACCTTTCACACTCCAACCTGTGGCTACGACTTTGATAAGCCTAGATTTACAAGGGTCAAGCAAACGGAACACACTCCAGTTCTCCACTTGCTTAAGACTCCAAAATCCATGTCCCATACTACCTTGAGTCGAATCTTCAGCTGAAACGGTCAATAGATTGAGTTTTAGCATACTCAGAACGCTTAATATACAACTTCCCTGCAATACATGATCTCTGGTATCCAAGTGAAGGAAATTTCACTCATATGGAGTTCATCGGTTATTTTTCAATTTAGCTTACATGAGGATGCGAAGAAGACCAAGCCCAACAGCCGTAACAGACACGACGGTACCTGCATACGAGTAGTTCATGTTACCGAAAATCACCAGCGGTACATCTGTCGATGTGATACTCTTATTCAAAATCAAGGAGTCTGTTCTCTACAAAACTGCTAATTCTGAAATGATCACCAAAGTTCCATACCATGAAACAGGTGACAAAATAAAGCTGTAAACACAAAACCCAAGGCAACACCGTGGGAGAACCGTACCAATGCAGTATTTGATGACATCATACTTGGCTGCCTCGAGTTGAGTTTTTAGTGTATGTATTTCCTGCTCACAAGAACACACATGCAGGACATCAGATCGGAAATATACCTCTGCATCATCTAAACCCATATTTTCGAGGAATACAATCCAAAAACTATACATGGGGCCTTTCTGCTTATTTTATTAAATAGAATAAAAAAATTGTAAAATAAATCTAAGAAAATAATGATAGTTGAAATGGGCTCGTATCTAACTCACCCTGTCTAACTTGTTGGTGAGATTGGTAGTCTCACTGCTTTGTGCAGCCAACTCCTCTCGGATGCGCCTGAACAGGAGCATAATCTTCTTACAGATACGTCCAATTCCAGGCTACTAAAAATACAGGGCAGGATATTGAAACTAGGATAAAAAGCCACAGCTTATCGACACATAGCATTCGGCACGCGCTCAATGCAACTTGGAGCAAGGTTAAAAAGAGAAAGCGGTTAAATCACAAATAGAAAACCAACAGTTTAAGAAAGAATTACCCTCTTTCTAGATTCAAATCCAGACGCTGACCTGCTGTCACTTTGTCAATCTCATACCTGCAACATAAAAGATTCATCATAAAATATTGAAATAAGGTACGATAGTTACTGCAAATTTAGAAAAAGAAAAACTACAAATACTTCCAGTGAGTTTGAGAAAGAGAACATTGACAAATGGTGCGCTAAGATATACCTAAGTTCACTTCGCATTTTCTCAATATCAGTTCGAAGCCTTTCTGTCTCTCGCTGCAAGGTTGCGAAGTGAAGCTCCTATGCACAACAGAAATCATGTAAGGGACAAATTTACACTCATAACGTCGGACTTCATAAGTTTGCCCGTATAGATTAAAAGGTCTACACTTCCAACGAGCACCAAGTATAGGACTAGCCCAAAAGGATAATCAAGAAATGACGCAAAATCGCATGGACTTTAAACGAGAAATCGGCCTATTAAAAGAATGATACCTGTGAACTTTGAACTTCACTCTTAAACTTGGACAGTGCTGCTTCGGCCATCATCTCACTCTGCAACCACGCACCAAAATAAGATAGTTCGTCTCCTGAGCACGTCCCTTATCTCCTCGGAACAGAAAACAAACAGAATTGACTGAGCGCAACAGTTCACACCTTAGAATAACTCATAAAAGCTAATGAACCCCAAAGATTGTCTGATCTTTAATTCAAGCATTCATGAAAAAGTAATGAGCATGGACATGTTCTAGTAAAAGAGCTAGCCTGCGTAATGATCAAGGAAGGACTGACAGACGTACTCTTGTCATCTCCGTTTTGGAAGTAAACGATTGAGCCACATTCTCTAAGCTGTCATTAAGCACTTCAGTGATGACTGCTGTAATCGCCTCCGCCTGCTTAGCTGTCAATCCCTGGGATTCTAATCTCCGAACCTGTCAACACATTCCGCGGACGTCATGATACTCACACTACGCTCTTCAGCTGTCAAAGGATTTCAAAGAAGCGAAAAAAGAAGACGACAATGGAGAATGTGGATAAGGAATTCTTAGAAATGAATCTCGTGAACATGAATACTTAATAGAATCCCACTGCATCATGGAACATCGGTGCAGAGTTGAAAAGCCCTACAAATTTCATTCTGAGTTCTTGCAACGAAGCTGACTAATCCTCTTGGTGCAATCATCGCTCTTCAACATATCAACAGCTAAGTCATCTAAGAAAAGCTACAAGTTAATTGAATTTTATGCTGATTTTTCAGATTTTAACAACAGTTTGTAGAGAGCTTCGGGCACAACTTGACTTTATGAATTTCAACCTCGGCAGAAATTTAAGAGTCTAATTTCGTGAGCAGATCTGGGTAAGAATGACTAAAAGTCCCCTTCCAATCGAAGAATGTTGATGGAGATGTTTCAATTAAAGTAAGAGCCTCAAGAGACTAAAAAAAACAAATGAATCCGATTGGTGGTACATTAAAGAAAAAGAGAAGTTACCAGTGCCAGGGTATCAACGAGGAAGGCTCTCTTGTTATTCGCCGTAGCGACAAGTTGCGAAATATTGCGCATGTAGTATCCCCTTACTGCCGCGTAGTTCCACGCTCTCAAAGGGCTCAATCCAATTGAATAGAATTCACAAGGTCTGATATCGTGCGCAAATTGCAAATCATGAAGCACCGACGGCAGGAGCACCGGCAACTGCAATTTCACATCGGAACAAATCGACTCCGCAGAGGTAGTGCCTGGGCGAGAGACACCCGCTGCTAATTGCATCGTCTGCAGCGGGAGAGCCCCCGGATACTGCATGGCTCTCCGCACGGCAGCTGCCATTTCTCCACCCTGAGGCAACCCTTGCGCCTCAATTCTCAAATTACAAGAAGGCTATCCAGAACTGCAAACCTCGACTTGATCCTACCGCCCTGGATGTACCTCTCTGCAAACAGCATCACTCTGGATCAAGAATCCGCACCAACAGAGATCCCGCAATCAGTCTCCTTCACAAGCACTCCACATCACACAGAGAGCAGCAAGGCCGCGTCCACCGAACAAACAATCCCACAGGCTGTCGAAAACCATTCCTCTTCTCGTAGCTGCTGGCTGAGCAGACCGTAACATCTGCCATGCCTTACGGAGGAGTCACCAATGCACATCTTCTACCCGATCATTTTGCTCGTGCGAACATTCTCATGCGGCATTTACATGAAACCAAGCATGTGAGAAATGGCCAATTCTCACAGGAATCTTAATGACGAACATTGAGAATGACAGAATCATATGCCTTCATTCGCGGAGAGCATTGAATGGTATTGAAATTCGAAACCCTAGTCCTCTTGCGACGACATCCATCCACATGAAAGTTCGGCTTTGGCCGAACCCTCTCCCCTGCTCTCCCGCCATTGTTTCACCTGGTTCGAAGCACAGCAATTGCTTCCCATGATGTGAATTCCCAGTCCTGAACTGTGCAGTTCTTCGATACTTGTAAAGGACGACGCGAGCACTGCTACGAAGCCAAAATGAGTTGGAGACACTGATCCTAGAGTGGACCATGTCAAAGGCAGCGTTCCAGTCCAGAGATTTTAGTAGAAGGAATTCTGTCATCGTTAGTTTAAAGTATCTTTTATGTATTCATGAGTTTGTCAGATTATTCACTGATATTGATCCTGGCTTTGCACACAGGCACCAAAAGCGTCTTTTGGTTCAGGCCAAGGGCTAAGTTGTGCTGATTCTTCGTATCTGCTCAGCAGAATAGTTCTTCCACAAGTTCGTGTAGTCGAATTGTGGTGTCTAGTCACACAGGAGAAAGATGAGAATTCACTGAATTTCGACGTTACATGTGGGATTTTTTTTTTTTTTTTATCATGAAAGAATTTTTAAAATTACAAATAAATTTATTTTATTTACATGTATTCAAGAACGTATAATTAGGATTCATTACATAGATGCATCAAAAAACTTTATATCTCCTATCTAAAATTGGTATACTAATAAAAATATGGTTTTAAAACAATGCATTGCCATATATTGCATTAAAAATAAAAAAATTACTTGTATTAATTTCTTTCATATATATATTTATATTTATATATATATATGATATCCTTTTCTATAATCTCTAAACAATAAAGGTTTGTTTTTTAAACTTATTAAACTAATAATCGTATTAAATTAATTTTAAAAACCCATCTTTCTTTAAAAACATTGACCAAATATGTCAATCCATGTTATTTTAAACAATCCATATTATAAGATGCTAAGTATAAGAAATTTTATATTTTATTCAATTATAGAAGATTAAATAAAGAAATCGACAAGCCTTTACATAGGGCAAGGAACCATATGTACTTTGAGCAGAATTTTATACAATCAAGTTTGGAATTTTATGCATTGCATCTGGAATTTTTAAGTGTGGAAAAGAAATTTTTGTAAAGTTTATGAAGCAATAAGAGCAGTTTTTCTTAGAGATATCTACAATGATAATTATTTATCCAATGTAAAAGCAAACATAAAGGTTATACTTCTACATTAAAATACCATTGTAGGCCTTCATTTATTATTACATATAGGCAAAAATAAAATAATGTAGATCAATGCAACTACTAGCATTTAAGTTAAGGCATTTAAAAGAATTTTGTGTATAGAATTGATGTATTCTATTTTTCATTATTTGTGTGCTTATGACACAAATTTCTATTAGTATGCCTACACATATGTGTGTTTGTATATATATATATATATATATATATATATACATATATAATATCAATTTGACATTAGAAGTAAAAAAAAAAAAAAAAAAAAAAAAAAAAAAGTGCACTATAAAAAAGAACTCGTTTATGTTGTGTAATATGTAAGGGAGTAAAAAACAATGGTACAAAAGCCTTACAAAAGTCCCTTGTTTGATTTATTTGTTTATTTATTAAATAAAAAACTCTCTTTTGAAAACATCGACACAGGTTTAGAGGCAATTGATCAAAAACTTTTAGAGCTAATATGAAGTAAGGAGAGGCCTTGAAATAAGCCAAATCATTTTCGATTATTACAAATATAAATAATTGATTTAGTAACTATTTGTAGTAAGTTAATTTGAATACTCAATTTTTTGTGAAAATTAATTTTTTGAGATTGGCCTACTTCAAATCCCAAGAAAAAACACTATTCATGTCATATAACAAAAATAATATGTTCCACTTCATTTTTTCCTCTTGCAACTTTTGAGCTAATTTTCCCAAGTATAAAAGTAACTAAATGAGGCTAATCAACTTCAACTTAGCAAAGGATTTAAAAGTTGGAACATCTTGTCTACTCCTCCTCCTCCTCCTCCTCCTCTGAGTATAAAGGCTTGAGAAGATTTTATTTTTTATTTTGAAACAAAAAAGTGAGATGGAAGTGAAGCACTGCAAACCCTTAATACTCATAAATACAGGAATGCAGGAAAAGGTCGGACCCAGATTCCCTCGTGTGAACAGGACCGAGGCACAAGACGATATGAAATGCCAGGATTAGAATGCAGGGGCGGAGTGGTCTCCAGCGTCGGCGATGGCGAGCACTTGCCAATCTGGTCACTCGACGGCGATGACGACGACGAGGCAGTCTCGTTGCTCGATCCTCGGAGACCTATTCCTGCTGCTCGCATGGCAGCTGATCAATTGCCTCTCCACCCCCCCCCGACCCAGTTCTCAGTTGCCCCCTCAACCGCTTCAAGGCACACTGCAGCGTTTCCGTGACGAAGGAGTTTGTCTGTGCCAATTGGTGTGCTTGAGCAGGTGGTGGAATTCATTCTCGGGTAGTGTTTGCGGCTGCCCCGATGGAGGGATTTTTCAATACGCTCAAAAGTTCGGGACTCGTGGAGGCGGTCAAAGACTTGGCGATGGATGCGCTACACTTGGACGACAACGACGAGAAGAAGAAAGGTAGTTCTGATGTTGGATTGTGCATTTTTCACGTTTGTCTTTCGTGTAGGCGATGCTAATTGCCTCCAGTGACTTGTTGGGTTTGATTAGTTGCTGGATTCGTTAGAGTTGTGGGGTTCGATTTGAGCGGCTCGTTCAACTCTGTATTAGGTGCACGAACTCTGGACCGCAATTTTCATATTCTATGAGTGGGTGGGTGTGTGTCGGGGGGGGAGAGGAAATTGAGCAATCTGGATGGAAATCCATATCCAGGAAGTCCTTTGTGATGTATGGCTTTGATTGGATACACGCATTTCATCATTTGAGCGTTGTTATGCTCTTTCAATATAGCGCTCCCGGAAGCTGTAATAATTTTGTTTGGAGCTTTCTTCGTGGTTTGGCTCAGTTGTATGTATTCGTGGGGTGCTTGTGTTGTGTAGAAGAGAATGTTGAATCAGCTTCGCGTCGCCATCACTCCTCTTCATCCCCCTGGAGGTCATCTCCACATAAGGCACAAGAGGCTGAATCCGGTGAAAGGCAACCTGAGTGGCGGCGTCAACGTCCGGCACGCACTGATGGTGACGAGTGGAATCAATCTGCATGGGAGCGTCCACGTCCAGCTCACGATGATGATGAGCAAGAAACTCAACCTGAATGGCGGCGTCCACGTCCACAGCGTGAAGAGGGGAATCCTTCAGGGGGCAGCTGGGCTCAGGTGCTCGTCTCTCCATGTGCCTGATTTTCAATCTATGAGGACAAGACTTAGGTATTCATCTTTCCGCCATTTTTGGCCGACTATGGTACAGGTTCTATGTAGCGTGACTGTTTAGAATCGCACTCTAATATCTATCAAGGATGACAGTTCGTTCGAAGGAAAGTTTGTTGCGGTGATGAAATTTGCTCTCCCTCTTCTTGGCTGGGCTGAACATTGGAGACTAAGAAAGTGAGGTACGTGTTTGGGTATGCAAATGGAAGCACTCTTTTCACGTCACTCTTTGCGTTCAGGTGGCAGGTAGTCAAGGTGGCCGTGGTCAAGGTCGTAAACCCCGGCCGCACTTACGTCCAGCTCAGGAGCAGTTAAATGAATATGGGAATGAGCCTAGTGAACAGCATTATGCAGAAGAGGTTTCTGTGAACATCGAACCAACGGAGGAAGAACTGGCCGACATCTCTGCTGCTTGCAACCGTCTGTGGGAGCTTGATCTTAACAGGTTGACACCCGGCCAAGACTACGAGATCGATTGCGGAGGAGGCAAGAAGCTTTATAACAAAGAGGACGTGTCCGAAGCTTCTCTATTCAGCTTTTTGGACAAGAGTGTGTTCAAACGTCCCACATACGCTCGTTTCTACCACCTGTTGGATAACTACTGTGCCGATGAGAGTAGGAGCGAAGCGCACTCAGCAGCAGAGGAACGAGAACAGGTGGCCTTTATCGAAGAGATCAGCCGCACTGGTCCTATCAAATACCTACTCCGGTACCTCACCGAAAAGAGAATCGTTCCTGGAAGCATGGAAAAGTTTAAGCAGACATTGCGCATTCTATGGTTTAAGTTCTTCAATCGCGGTGGCACACGAGATTCGTCTTCTGGGTTTGAGCATGTATTTGTCGGAGAAATCAAGCGCAATGGAGAGGTGTCGGGCTTACACAACTGGATCCAGGTATACTAACTCAAGCAGACGAGATCCTTGCTCCCTTAGCAATTTTTGAGTGGTAGTTAATTAGTCTCTCTTGGAATGTATAGATTCGATACTATTCGATTGTCTGTGTACCTAACCATCCAATTTGTTGCGTGTTGGTCGCTCAGTTTTACGTTGAGGAAGAAAAAGGAACTCTAGATTACCAAGGCTACATTCTACCACGGAGGCGAGGGGGAGACTTGGTAAGTTTTTTGCAAGTTCTATTCCTCTCCATGTGTCGGCAGCGGCCCTGCGTTCTCTTTGCTCAATGTTTTTCACGGTTGTTTTGTGCAGCCAGACTCGCAAACACAGCTTCTCACAGTCCAATTGGAGTGGAATGGTGTTCGAAAGGATCAAAGCAGCATCCTAGTCGGCGTGAGCCCAGAATTCGAGTTCGCTTTGTACACTTTGTGTTTCTACTGTGGCCAAGAAGACAACTACGTAGACCTGGGTCCTTACAGAGTGAACGTCAAGTGCTATCGCATGGGTGAAAACAGAATTGGTTCTGTCTTTCCAATTGCTCTTGATTAAGTCTTTTGTTACATACATCTTCTACTGGACTTGGCTGTTTGTGCAGAAGCAAGTACTAGATCAATTTGTTTCTCATCACTTTTTAGTTTTTTTTAGTTTTAGTTTTAGTTTAAGTTTAATTAATTAATTAATTTATTTATATTTATTTTTCTCAAAAGGTTACTTGCAGCATGTTCTGAAGTTGTAGAACATGGGGCATGGAGCTCAACTCCTATGCTCGGTTATAATTTACGTATTTATATACGAGCTCTCTGTTCACTGCGGTTACGGATAAATTAGCTGCATGAACTGAATTTGTTATAACTTCACTACTACGCTAGCGCTTTACTTGACATCCTTCCACAGCTGACGTGGGAAATTTTTCGATGGACATTTCATCGGTGTTCGGTGCAGTAGGAAAGAGCACTACACGCATTGAAAGGGCTAATCAAGTCTGATACATCAAGTCTACAGGGGATGAGCTTCTCGAAGTCGTCATTTATTGGAGAGTTGGTGGAGACTCTGTTTTCAATCAGAAGAACCTTTTGACTCAGACTACTGCGTATGTGTGAAATCCAGTGCACGAACTGCATCAAATGTGGTGAAGCACGACAGTATCTTCAGATTGCGGAAGAGAGTTGTAACTGGCCATATATGGAGGCCATGGGGGAATGCACCCGCCTAGGTCGTACCCAGATGAAAGTGGTTCTGTCTTCAAGGCTCATGAGATCTTCTAAATGCTATTTTTTTGGCGCATTGCTTACCATATTAGTAAGGGATGTTGCCGGATAAACTAGCATTCAAGTGGAGTAGAGGCCATGTTTTACTTATATCACCTTTATCTGGTAGGTGCCTCAAGACCTGCAAGACCTGCAAATTTACAGTTCTCGTTCTGTTGGAGGATTACAATTAGTCCTTGAAGGACTTAGGTTGCGGCTCTTTGAGGCCCTTAATCTCGTAGAGCTTGTGAAGGCCCACTATTGCTGACAGAGGTGTAAGATGCCGCCACAGCTTCCTCTCGTCTGCCATAGATGTGGTATGTTGTAGGCCTTCTCTGAGTCAACGACGAGTTTGGATTTAGCATGTTTGTCGATTCGCTTAAGACGCAACACCAGATCAGTCACGTCGAAGTTGCCCTTCACCCAACTTTCCAATCACGCAGAAGCTCTGTAGTCAGCATGTGCTTAACAATCCATGAAGGAAACTCAATTGTCAATTGCTGGAGGGTGGCTTTTGCATGGGTGACATGTGAAGAAAGTGGCCACAAAGAGAGCAGGAGTGTAAGTGTTCGCGTTTACAGGAAGCGGGGAGGAGTGAAAGATCGTGACCAATCTTTAGCTGAGGCATATGAGCTCGATTGCTTGAGCTTGAGTTTTTGTGGTTGAGACAATTTGCTGCTCTGCCTACTGAATTCTGGGTGTGTGTCTCTTCGAAGTGTTGGTTTAAGTCCTGTATTGAAGGATGCTTCAATGAGGCTTTCCAGGTCCATGTTTTGCGGCACCGCGGAAGCAAACATGTTCACTGTTTGTGGTGTTGGTTAGTGTGGTTGTGTGTTGAACTTGTGAGAAATCTTGTGGTGCAATTGGGTGCGCAGTAGTAGAATACTCAGAAGTTTTAAGCACAGGAACGAGCCAGCGAACACATGACAATCAGCTTGCATGTGTTTCTGCGACTGTAATTTTGTTAGTTTTTCGTTAATGTACGATAGATTACATTTTGGCGCAGAATTGCTTCTCAAAAGTACGTTGCTCTGTGGGTTCTGTGAAAAAGGAAAATGATTAGTGCTTCCAGGCTTGTTTTTAGCGACATTGTAAATTGTCTGGTTACTTTTTATCACTGAGGACTTGAGCTTCGAGAGGATTTCAATTCTTTCTGTAGAGACTAGGTAGTGAAGGAGACTCTGATTCTGGTTCTGCACATTTCTTGTCATCTTTATCAACACGAGCTGGTAAAGCCATAGTTTACGGCTGTGAGCTGTGATTTGTGTTCATTGTCATTTTCTACGTACAAATTTCAGAGGCAGAGAAAACAGGTTATGCTCAGTTCATAAAAAACGAGAAGTTTTCCCACGGGCTTGAAGCAGAGGACAGTCGTGTGCTTAGGATATTGACACTACAAAATTCGCACCGGCGGGCGTCAATATGGTTCCCAATCTTCCATAGCTTAGAAAAGAATAGTCATGAGAATTGCCAACGGAAACGTGCGGGTTGCGATTTTAGACAATCGATGTGTTGTCGGAAAATCTCATATAAGAAGTGCATTCTTGTAGAATCACCAAGTGATGGAAGAGGAGATAGTACAACTATGAAGTTGCACACCACGAAATCTATCATATCTCAAACAGTAACCAGCGATAGGCCAGTCATGAAGACTGCTCAAAGCATGGATTATTCCTCAGCTGCACCCGAAGTTTGTTCTTTCTTCAACCCTCCACACACTCGCCGAGTTGCTCCACTCTACAGTGAGTTGACAAACAGGTCAGTACACAGAGATTCATCAAACCCTCTTATACTTTCTGGGGAGACCTGACGTCCTAAAAAAGCATCCAAAAGATAACGAATAGTGAGGAGTGTGATAATTTCGTGCTGTACATTGTAAAGATGTACCCAATTTCTCTTTTCAGCTAATCATTTTTCTAAATTAATTTGGGTGCTGGGACTTCATGGTGTAATTTCCGCTTAAATAACGTTCCAAAAAACTGTACATAGAACCATTCAAGCTACTTAGTTGAGGATACTGCTCACGATTAAAGAAAACTCAGCCACTTCTCTTACCTGTTAACAGCGTTTCTCTCGTAAAATCCAGCCTTCCCTGGAATCTTTCATTTGATGAGTTCGAGGAGTGCAAATCTGAAGGTGATGGCTGCGCATATTCTTCAACGTCAATATTGTGCAACTCTCTTGGCTTAGCATCTCTGAATTCTATTAAAATCATCTCCGTCACTTTCATCCAAGGCTTGTCCATCCGATTCTCCACCATGTGGCATAAAGAGTACCATTCCAAACCATGTTATTGCAGTTTTGGTGAATGGCTACTCGACTAGGCGATAAAATATTTGTTTTATATCTGAACTTTGTGCTGATGTCCTCTCAGGATACTACCCATTACAACTTGTTTTCAAATTAATCGAAATTATCTGAAACGGTTTTCATGAACTGTTAAGCTTCAAATTTGAGTGACTTCCTTTGCACTATGAACAGTGATCTCATGTTGAATCAGAAGCTTGTCACAGGAATTCACTCTTTGTTGTCGATATCAATTTAAGTGACATGCAGCAGGTCTTGACTATATGCAGCACCAAATGAAGACGGCGTGTTCGCAGATCATCCGACCAAGGAAACATCTGAACAGGATGTCAGGTTCCCTACCGCAGCCGGAAAAGGTCTGACGGTGTTTGTGTGGGACATGGACGAAACCCTGATAATCTTTCAAACCCTCCTCGACGGACGATACGTGGGGCTGTTCGATGGTTACAAGGACTGCCAAAAGGCTACTCACCTTGGCCGCCGTTGGGAGCAGCTTATCTTGGAAGTGTGTGACGAGTATTTCTTCTATCAGCAGGTATTGAGCTCTCACATTGTTTATCTGTTTATTTACTTATTCCTTCTTGTGCTAGAACTACCAGCTGGTGTACTGTTTTGAGCAATTTCCAGAATTTCATTTGCATGAAACAACTCGCATTTCAGAACAAGGTTTGTCCAACCGGAAACAGTCGGGACCTTCTCACCTGGAAGTCCACCAACGTCATCCATTCTTACGACTTATATTGTAGGTGTATGTCAGCCGCTGGAGCAGAATGAAAATTTTCTAAAGGGAAGAAAGTGATTCAGGTGGAGGAACACGATTATCCAAACTTGAATTCGTTGCAAGAATATGATGATGGGATTGATCTTGATGACTATAAGTTTGGAGAAATTAGCTTGACGTCGCCACTAGGTGCTGAAAACTTGCGAAAATTAAGATACTTACATCGGTATATCATCCAACGATACGAGCAGGTCAAGATTCTCTACAACTTCTGATGTTCATCGTAGGAGACCTGTATCCATAAATCAGCAATCAAAACAGAGTTCTAGTTTAGACATCAAATTGGGCCAGTTCGCTGTTCAGTGAAACAACATTATAATGCTTGAGTTTATTGATTGCACGCTCATTTGGCCTGCCCTTCTCAATGTGCTGAAGGGGAATTTTAAGTGTAGATTGCATTGAAATTGTAAACTGACGGTGTTCAGTTTCGCCGCCCTTGCAGGGCCTGGAAACCCTTCTGAGTCCAGAACAAGCCAAGAAATGGAATGGCATTTATGAAGAGACAGATAAATATACTGATAGTTGGCTTTCTTCTGGTAATCCTGTCATACGAGAGCACGGCTCCTTTACCAGCAGCTGACGAAAGGGACCGAGAATCATGGTCTTATAACTGTGACATTTGCCGAGTTATCCTACTGAACAGTGTAAATTCAAGTCTATTTCTTGCTGAGATATTTTGGATGGTGGTGGGCACCAGGAAGGCAGAATGTCCGATCAATTACCTTGAGGGATAGAAGCTCTAAGAGTGCTACTGAGCTAGTCGTAGTTCCTTCCTATTCGTACAATTACTTGGTCACATCCGGGACCCTCATTCGAAGTCTTGTGAAATGTTTGCTCTTCAAGCTCAATCCTTATTTCCGCTCAAACAGTGAGCCCACACCCCTTGCACTAGTCAATGAGTAACAACTCAGGAAGAGATCAAACAAGACAGAAAAAAACTAGCATGATTGAAACACGATGTGTGATTCCCTGCCCTGGTAACTACCTTGTGAGCGATTAAGGAGAATGATCACAATCTGACACTACTTGATGGTGCAGTTTTCAGATAAAGAGAGGTGGGGAAATTGCAGTGCTTCCGATGGATTCGTGAACGCAAACAAGACAGTGACGGATCTGCATGGTTTTGTGTCATTGGCGATGGGCCTGATGAAAAGGAAGCTGCTCGAGTTCTTGCTTGGCCTTTCGTGAAAGTAAGCATCGACCCAAGCGTTTACGAGCAGCAGCTACCTCGGCTATCGTTCAAGACCATTCAGAAGGACATAAAGGCCGTGTACAGAGATTCTGACTCTGCATAATGAAGCAGCTACATATTCTGTAAGTTGTTGCAATAGCTAGACTTGTAGACCATATTTTGCACGAATCACTACTTATAAACATCCCATGATTTCACATCATTTCCATCTGTCATTCACATCTGAATTCATCAGTCCGTCAGGAGAATGGAAAGGGTTGTAATTTGAAGAGCATTTTCAGAAAAGGGCAATTGAATTCAACTACTTGGCACTTACTGTTGTCAAACTGGATTTCATGTTCGTTTTCCTTTCTTTTTTTTTAACTTCCTTGTCAGACTGCTCATTCATCACAGCATAAAATCCTTCAGGACAATTTAACTTTCAATTGGATTTTATTATTGGGTCTTTTTAAAAATGTGTTTAAAATTCCTTCCTGTATTCTATTCTATAGATCAAGGTTTCAAATGACTTTTCAACTGTAATAGAAGTTACCGTTCCTCATGCATCATAATGAGATAGCATTATTATTGTGCATTCATAATTAATGTTTTTTTTTAGTCAATAGTCAGAAACAACAATGACTACCATTTTTAATTTTTAAAATTTTTTCTGGAAGGATTTTATAAAAATACTCCTAGATTTTATTTCCAATGATTTTTACATAATAAATTATCATTTATAGGAGCAAAATTCCTTAATATAAATAGTTATACATTGTAAAAGTTTTTTGTACTTGTGGATGTTAATTTTAGTAGTGGTATATATAGATTTCATTGTATATTGATTAATTAAATTCAATTGTATTATTTACAAACACATCTTTTTTCATGTTACTTTCAATCTTATGTTATCTTCTTTTAGACTTGAGCTACTTTTATTATCCTTTAGTTCTTAACTTAAAGAGGTATGCTGAATAAATAAAAATTAATCCAAATTAATCATCACAACAAATAAATTAAACCAATTTTAATCCCCAAATATCTAATCTATTATATAAAACAACTTGTACATAAGATAAAGACGCAAAGATACACTCTAATTAACTATTGAAAAGAAAAAGCGAAGAACTTAGAAAACACAAAGTGGTTGTATCCTTAACTATCTCTAAGAACCAAGTTGTTGGGAGCCTGAAGATTCCTAATTATAGCTATTTTACTTGCCAAGATTGTGACATGGATATGAAGTGTTGCGCTTGCCATTATGTTGTGCTTGTTATTGTGTTGTGCTCTAAGTTGTATTATGCTCTTCATTCTTAATGGAAATTCACCATCTTCTCTTTTTTGTAAGATTTGAAGCTATCTTTGCATTGGATCAAAAGATTGCTTTAAATATTAATAAGATTGGATTAGTTAGATAATTCTTTTCTTATCTCTTCTTTGATGTTGAAGGTGGCTCTATTTTAAATATCATTTTTTTTTAATATCCACCAAATTATTTACAAATTATTGTTGTTGTTATTGCTTTTGATTTTTTTTATTTTTTAATTTTGATTTTTAATCTCTCTCTCTTTTAAGATAAGATGTGGTTTGCTACAAATTAAATAAGTTTTTTCAAGTGGTTTTATATATTTCTTGATAGTTTTGCTAAAGAGGTTGCCCCACATGTTGCCCTTACTAATAAAGAAGCTAAATCAATCATTGAAAGAGCATCTGAGACACAAGTTTAACAAGGGAAGGATCATAGTATTATATAATTATAGCAAGCAAGTAATAATATAGAAAACAAGCAACATTATTGTCATTTTCATGTGTTTTTTATACACTCTTTGAAACTCTCTATTTTATATTTTGTCTTCAAATATTTACTATTTTTATGTTGTTATTATTGTTGTTGTTGTTGTTGTTGTTGTTTCTTTTCATTTATTTTTTTGTTTTGATTTTGTATTTCTCTCTCTTCTAGAATAGGATATAATTTTCTACAAATAAAGCAAGTTTTTTCAAGTATTTTTGTATGTTTTTTGATAGCTTATGTTGATTAGGCTATTTCACTTGCTACTCTTACAAAGAAAGAAGGTAAATTAATTATTGAGACAACTTCTAAGATACAAATTTAACAACATTGATCTAACAACATCAATGACGTTATTGCTATTGACTTAGTAACTCTCTTTTCATGTCTTTTTTAATATTGAGATGTTAAAATTGGCTCTATTTTAAGTATCAAATACTTCTCACAATCACCCTTGTACTAGCTACCACATGTGATCTTTTTCTATTTTTATGCTTTTGATATAAGACGTATTCTTATTTCAAAGACTTGGCATGAGATACACCAAGCTTATCTAACCACCTACAAGCCACAATCCAACAATATGACAATATAACAATTGTTTTCTATTAAAGCAAGGGATTGAGACTTTGTATTCTTAATATATTTTTTGGAGGGCATTCTATATCATTTGTTTTTTATTTGAGAAAAATCATATTTTTAAATTGAAAGCTGATATTATTATTTACTTTTTCAAAAAGCTGTATAGATTGCTATATTTGGAGTCAATATATTGGGCTAGGTGGCATATTTTTTAGACTTATAAATGCATGGTAAAGGAAAATCATCCTGATTGCAACTACAAGCTTGCATGAAATGAACAATTTTTATTTAAGATAAATACTTTTTTTCATGCTGTGTAAATACGCAACCTTTATGTAATCTTCTCTTTGCATATGCTTGGTCATAATTTTTACAATTAAGTCTACTAACTTTGTATTTTAAGGTAAGATTATGAACTTGGTGTTGATACTCTTGTAATACATTAGACTAAGTTATTATCAAGACCTTGAAAGACCATATGGATTAATTAAAATTAAAATTTTGAGCAATAAATATGTACTTAAATAATGAACAAATTTGAAGAGAGGCGTATTTTCAATGAAAGAGACATTCTCTATATTACATTGTTTTATCAAATTAGTCCTTCATAATTCTTTGTCAAAGCTAGTTGCAGTAGAAATCTTCTTTTTGTTGCAGTGATATATATAGTATTAAAAAATGGAGGATATATAGGAATCAAAAATTGCAAGTATACAGATGGATACTTATATAGCATGTAATTGAGATACAAGATATAAGTAAATAAATAAGTGCATATGTAGTGTGTAGTTGGAATATAAATTATAGAATATGAGCTATTTATTTTGGTGGTGAGAATTCACTGTTATTTTTGGAATCAATATTGGTCAATTAGACCTTTTAAAAATATATATATATATATGTATATATATATATATATATATATATATATATATGGAATTCAATTTAAAAACTTTTGCAATGTAATTAAAAAATAATACATGATTATATCTATCTTAAACAATTATATGGAACATATGAGACATTTTTCATAAATCAATGTTTTTTTTCATTAATAATACTGAGACATTTCCTCTTGCATTCTTCCTTCTCATCTACAATCAAAAGGCCTAAAGTTTTTTTCTTTTATAGTGATTGTTTGTTTTGTTGATGTGATTTAGACTAAAGAAATCATAAGAAAATTTCATTAGCAAACATGAATGCAAATGCAAAAAATAGTAATTTAAGAATAGAATTTTTATATTTACTTTTGTATGACTTTGAAAAAATAATTACAATAGTACCAGTATTATTATTATTATTAAAAAAAAATATCACTATTATTGAAAATAATTATTATGAAAAGATATTATCAAAAGTTGAATTTTTTATTTACTTGATAGCTGGCATGTCAATTGTTAATTATTAAGTTGTTGTACAATATAGGCAAAGAGCACATGAACATGTTGAGAAATATGTAGAAGCCTGTGAAGAACAAGAAAGAAGAAGATTAGATACCCTACATGAACAAAGAAATGACTTAAATAATATTGTGCCTATATGCAATTGTTGTGCAATTGAACAACTAAGATAAAAGTCATGTGAATATATTGTAGAACATAGAGAACAAAATGAATAATATATAGAAGGACATACTACTAAAATTAATAAAAATGATGGTGTTGGTAGAGAGATTGCTCAACATATGAATCTTTGAAAAAATGCACAACAAAGACAAAAGGCATAGAAGGAAGCAATCCTATGTGCATAATAAAAAGAAGAAATAAAGAAATATGATAAAAAAAAATAAATAATAAATAAGTGGAGCAACTTCTTTATAAATATTATAATAAAAGAAAAATATTGGAAGGTATTCATAATGTTAGAAATGTAGACATTCAATGTCCACATTATAAGATACTCCACTAGATTGGTGAGCAAACCATGCCATTAACAAAACAAAATCTATAATTTGGTATATGTTGTCTTGTTAGAAGTTTGAGCTTTTGCTTCTTGAAGATCCCTAATTATTAATTAGAGAACTACTTGATAGACAAGATGAATAAAATAAAGAGTTTTAGAAGACTACTTGACAATATAATGTTTCACATATATTTATATCTCTTGGTGCAAAAGTTGACAATATTATCTTGTAAATATATGGTCTATATAGCTTTTGCATTTTTAAAAAGCTTTGGTATCAAATGAATACTTTTTTACCAAAATAAGATATAAAATCAAATTATATATAATTTTATGTTTGTAATCTTGACATTGCATATGAAGCAAGAATAGTATGTAATGCCAAGTTGTCAGCCTAGACAATGTAAGAGTTTCAAGAATATTAAATAGAACATCATGTATTTTTTTTTTTTTTTTTTTTTTTTTTTTACTTTGTCAAAAAGTTCATGAAATATTATCTAAAGCAAGGAAAAGAAGAGATAGCAGTGATAATATATACATACATCTTTATTTTAGTAAAAATATTACTAGAAGAAATTATAATCTTCCAACTTCTAATGAAGTAATTGTTGTTATGCCAAGCAATGGAATAAAAGCAAAAAGAGTGAGAGATACAATTTTTTGATAGAGAGGAGGTGCATTGCAACAAATTTATAAAAGACATCATACATACTTGCTACTCCACTATGTTATTATTTTTCTATGTAAAGAATGTAGATGGTATGATCAAATGAGACATAACAATATGAATGCCAATAAAGATAAGAGTAAAAAATGTTTGGATTGCACATATTATTCTATATGTATAAAATGTTTCTACAATATAATGAATACTTGACTATCTTACAAGGTGGAAAGTTGCAATAGGAATTTATTGTAGATGCTTAGGCAACAAAAGAGTAAAATTATTTGTAATACTTCAATATGAATTAAGATAGGTTACATACAAATATATATCAAGGATTAGCAAATATTTTTGAAAATGTGCAAAATCAAGAAGTTGACATGTGGAGTTTAAGGAAGAGGATAAAGCTTCTAATATCTCATATTTAAATTCAAGCATTGTACATAGATTGAAGATATTTATAAGTATCACATTTTAGGACAAGTGCTTGCAAGAGTACATATTATTGAGTTTCACAAGGAAGGTTTTTTGTACATGCACTTCTCACTCTTTTTTGAATAAAATATCAAAGTAAAAGATTTGACTAATATTAATAGGATTATTTGTGCAAAGCTTTCTATTGAAGAAGAAGCTCTATTTTTATTTGAAACGATTAGTACTTGTATGGTTTATGGTCTATATGGACCTTGAAATATACAAGTTCCATTCATGATAGATAAAATATACCAAAAAAAATATCTAAAAGAATATCAAGAAATAACATTAATGGATGGTGATAGCTATCTCCAATATTAGAAAAGGAATGATAGAAGAACTTTTAATGTTAGCAATTATATTGTAGACAATTGAAATGTTCTTCTATACAATCCTATTCTTAACAAAAAAAAATATGATTTCTATATTAATATTAAAATTTGTGCTTCAATTTGTATTATAAAATATATTCACAAGTATATATATAAAAAATATGATTGTTCAACAATGAAAATTAGAAATAAGGAGGATGGAATTAAGTAATATATTGATGCATTATATATTAGGGCTTCAAAGGCAATATGGAATTTTTTAGAATAAAAATACATAAGTAAGTTTCAAATATGGTTTGATTGACATTTCTTTTTATTCAAATAATGATGCAATTGAAGTCTTAGCCTATAGAAAGCAGCAAAAAATAACTTTGATGGATTTTTTTGAAATGCGTAAATCTATAGAGATTGCTTGGCAATACAAGTGTAAAGAGTTTCATAGTATTTCATGTGGAATAAGACCTTGAAGGAGTGGAAAATAAGTCAACTTGGATTTGTAATTAAAAGATTATATTTTTCTAATCTTATTGCAAGAAAAAGATTCTATCTTCATCTTCTTTTAATGGTTGTACATAGGCCATGTTCATTTAAAGATCTTCATATTGTAAATGGAATACTTCAATCAAATTTTAAGAGTGTATACTTAAAAATGAGATTGTTAGAAGATGACAGAGTAGAATCAATGCTTAGAAGAAGCCTCCACAATGAAACAAGGAAGCAATTTAGAGCATTGTTTATTATTATTATTTTTCAATACTTACTTATACATTTAGAAGAACTATGGGATAAATTTAAAGATTTTTTTTGGAATGATGTGGATTATTGATTGACTCAAAAATATGGAATTGAAAGGTCAATATATATATATATATATATATATATATATATATATTAGATTATAGACTATTTCCTTGTAATAATTTTTTTTAAGAATTAAAAAAAAACTTATTGATTTTTTATTAATGTTATTGTAGAAAAGGAAATAAAATAAAAATGATAAAAATTAAATTTTTATAGAACATAAGGCATGAAATTGTGATAAGCTAAAACAAATAATAGAAAAACATAAGCCAAAGTTGAATGATGAACAATACGTCATATATTTGGATATCTTTGCTTTAGTATATAACAATCATAAAAGTTGTATTTTTTAGAAGGACCAACATGAAGTGAAAAAATATTTATTTATAATACAAAAATAATAAAGTTTTGAAGTAATGAAAATATTTTTTGTATGTTGCTTCCTCTTGAATTGCAATACAACTTTTAAATGATGGACGAATTGCATACTCTATATTTAAAATTCCACTCCATCTTAGTGAAGATGTATTTTGGAATATTACAAAGAACACATCATATGTAGATGTACTAAAAAAGATTTTTTTTATTATTTGGAATGAAATATAGATGTAGCATTGCCTTTAAGTTGAGGCAGTTGATAGAACTCTTCAAAACATAAATGATGGTAACAAGTTATTTGATGGAATTATTTTAGTCTTTAATAGAGATTTTTGGCAAATACTTCTTGTTGTTTTTGCAATGGATCACATTTGGTCATTATGCAGTTGATTAATCAAGTTATAGAGGCAAGATTGTTATATAAGAACTACTAGAGACAATTGGCTTTTCTTTCAAGGATCACATTATATCTATCATGTACAAAGATTTTGTCCAAATTACAACAAATGTAGTTTTGAATAAAAGTAGGATTTGCAATAACCACTAACAAATCTTAAAGACAATTGTTGAAGAGCATAGGAATTTATCTTAAAATCCCTACATTTGCACATAAACAACTATATGTTGCCTTTTTACAATGCATTTCTCCAAATATGATCAAGATCATTTATCCTAAAAATAATAAAGACAAAAATACCATTGTAAATGTAATTTATTCCAAAGTTCTTTTAACTTAGTTATTTAAGTTGTTGTAATAAATAAAAACTATGTTTTCCAATTATAATTAAGAAACATAAATGATTTCATTATTATACATATATTCTTCTTTTTTTCTTTCTTAATTAGCATTTTTTTAGGAGTAGTCAATTTTTAACTTAAGAATTACAATTAAATTTTTAAAACTTTTTTGTGGCCAATGCCATGAGTTCCTATTAGTTTATTATATAAGACAACTTGAATATAACACAAAGAGACAAAAAAGTCTTCTTATTGGCTATGAAAGGAATGCTAGGAATTGTAAGGAACATAAAAACAAAAAAACTAATAAATATAGGAACATGGAAATGTAGAAATATGGGAATGAAGGAGCATAGATGATTAAGGAAATGGATGATTGTAGTACCCAATGACACAAGTTTCTACTAGTTTGACAAATAATCTTTTATATCAATCTTAAAATTATTAACTTTTTAAAATCAAAACTTTTCAATCAAAACCTCTATGTTTCTTGCCATGGGGCATCAATTATCTTAGTATACATTGAAATTTGGTTCAACGAAGTCATCACCCCCCTCCCCCTAAAGAATGACTAATCCTCCGTAATAGCAATGAGAATGATCTCTGAAAGGAAACCCTAATCCAAAGCTGCAGTGGAAAATGAGAACAGTCGCCGTCGCCGTCTCCGCAGCTATCTCTCTGAGTGATGTTGTGTTGTGTTGCGTGGAAGACGCCCAAGTGGCAACCGATGCAGCGTGCCATGTGCCTTTGCAGGCGTTGGGACTGTTGCCATTTGGAATTTCTCGCTCCTCTCTTCCATTCGATGCCCCTGTATTCGCAAAACTATGGGTCATTGCGTGCGTGCACTAACGTTCGAAGTTTACAAAGTTGTTGGTGGGACGTTGTTGTATGAATAGCTTGTGGATGGAGACATGGTGGAGAACGGAGTTGAGAAACGTCTGATTAAGTTTCAGAGTTGGGTCTTTCGTGTATGAACCTTGGTGGGCAGATTTTGTGTTGTAGGTGTTGTGATCACGGCGTCGAGAGTTCGCGATTAAGTGGTACTTGTAGTGAGCACTACAGCAATTCGTTCTGTTTGAGTAGCGTATAATTTAGCACAATGTCCGCGGGACGGCGCGCTACAATTTATCTCGCATCCGCTCTTCGCTCTCAGTATGAGAATATATCCTCGACGGGGTTGCGCACATTGCGCGTGCCGCAAGTAAGGGTAGCTGGTGTTCATGGGTCCTCGGGAGAGGGCTCCACCTCTGGGGACACTTCCCTAGCTTCTAAGGGTCCATATTCGTCGAAGTTGAAGACCAGACGGGTGATTAGCTTTGATGGGCCGGATGTTATTGATTTCTTGCAAGGGCTAGTCACTAACGACGTGAGCAAGCTTGTGAGGGAGCCCTCGGGAGAGACACCTACTCCCTCGCCGAATGCCCCATTGGTTTACCAGCCCCCGTTGTATGCAGCAATGCTGAATTCTCAGGGCAGGTTTCTGTATGATTTGTTCTTGTATAAACCAAGCGCGGGAGCGGAGAAGCTGGATCGTTCCGGGTCAGGTCCTGGGAAGAGTAAGGATACGCCTGAGTTGTTGGCGGATGTCGACGCAGGCCTTGTTGATGAGATCATTGGATACTTGAAGAAGTTCGTCCCATTATCCCTTATCATATTCGCAAATTCTTGTGCATGCTTCATGTCCTTCTGGCTCTTCTTCTTCTTCTTCTTCTTCTTCGTCATTATCTAATTCATCGTGATTTATTATATATCCCCCCCCCCCCCCTGCCCCCCCGAGACTGTTCCTTCCTTTCAACGTCCTTAGCTGATCCGCCTTTTGTTGTCGTCATTGGTTCTCTGTGTGGTCAAAGACTCTGACCTCTCATCAATTGAATCTTCTTGATTTGAGCCACGGGAAGTAATGTCGCAATTGAGCTCAAATTTGAGAGGGATTGTTTCAACACACTCCTTCTTTCCATTAACTCTTGCATGATGGCAAATGATATTCGGTCTTTAACAACAAGTCATACCCCTCAAGTACTAGGATTCTTTATTTGATAAGTTACCACCTCTTGTAGTGGACAATAGGTTTCTAAGAGTATAATGGGAATCAATGGTAACGATCTCTAAGCAATGTATGTCAGGAAGGGCAAACTTTTCGCACTCATGAACTTAAGCGTGTTGACAGACAAGTATTTACGATTACTATTAATGAATTTGTCCGCATCTACTAGCGATGTGATGTTTAAGTATGGACAAGCTATGGTTATGGAGTCTCACTTTCGAGATCCAATTTACTGTTATGAATTCCCATGTTTCAGAGCTTTCAAGAGGAAAAAAAAGTCTGGCTATTTAATCATGAGTGCCGAGCTTCATGTTTTCTGTAGAGCTCATGGCTGCTATGAGAAATGGTCATCATTTTTTGAAACTGCCATCGAAGCACCTTTTTACTTGGTAGTCATTCATTCCGAAATATTTTAGTTGATGTCCTTTACTGAAGTTGTGGAAGTTTCATTTTTATGACTGGCATTCTTACACTTGCGCCTTTTTGACTCACAGGCATATTTTACGGAAGAAAATTGAGGTTAAAGACGTTTCAAAGGATTTCTCAGTGTGGCAACATTATGGGGGAACTTTAGCGGAGAAGCCAGATAACACAACTGAATCCGAGGCTGGAGCAATTGGGTGGGGAGGCACAAAGGATGAGAGTGCTCTGCGTTCATCCGAAACAAGTGGTGATGAATGGCTTTGGTACAAGGACCCACGGCTGAGCACCTTGGGGCTGCGAGGCGTCTTCTCAACAAGTGCTCTACGTACGCATTCACTGTCAACCAAATGATCCTCTGTAGCTTCACTTAAGCAGTGTGAATCTTTTGGAAGTTATATATGCAATCAAACTGTTTTCATTCATCTATTATTCCTGAACTACTTGATTACTCATGTTCATAATTTCTAATCACCTGTGCTAAGAATTGGATAAGTTTTGGGTTTGTAGCCCCTTTGGTGGAAGCTGGCACGAAAGTAGAAGAGGACTACTATCTTTTGTGGAGAATGGAACAAGGAGTTGCAGAAGGTTCCACCGAGATTCCTAAAGGTTGGCTGCCGTAGATCATTATTAGCCTCTTTGTAGACACTTGGTTCTTCATTCTTGAATACCTCAACTGTTTGTCCTGGATGAACATATCTCGTTTGTGATGCTCACGACTTTATAGACTCCTTTTCAGATTTGCTTTATTTTCAAATCATCACTATATCTATATCCTGTTTTACAGTTGCCATACGAAATTTCCTGTTATGTTATACTGCAGAACAGTCAGCAACTTTCGATCTTTAGTTTGACTCCTGACGTGCGTAAGCTAATGACATATTTCCAGGTGAGGCCATACCACTGGAATACAATCTGGCAGGATTGAACGCAATCGACTTCAATAAAGGATGCTACGTGGGCCAGGAACTTGTCGCACGCACCCATCATCGAGGTGTAATTCGCAAGCGAGTTATGCCCCTTAACTTCGTACAGGCCAATGGAGAGGGTATGCTGTTCCCCAATTCCCAATGCAGTCCTTTTACACGTGTACTCTTTTTTTCACTGGCTTGTTATGACCTCTTTCTACGACTTGAACCTCTTTTCCTTACTGACATGGCTCATAATGTTAACTTCCATTCATCGTTTGATGTTGAGAGTTCTCAAATACCTGTAGCCCATAATTCGCTACCTCGAATGACTTTGTACAACTAGTCGGGTATTGCTCCTTCAATTTCGATCTGTCTTTCTCACTGCAGTCCACTATCGTTCACGTAGAAGCACAAGATGCCGTTACCCCTGGCGCGGATGTGGTGGACAAGAAAGCTGGGAAGAAAGTTGGTAAAGTCACGACGGTGCTGGGTCCAAGAGGCTTGGGCTTGATACGGCTTGCCTCTGCCAGCGATGGAAGCGAGTTGTGTATCGAAAACCAGGAAGACATTCACGTGAAGGCTGTGCGACCCAAGTGGTGGTTTAGCGAGTGGGGTCATGAAGATGAGGGTCAAGCTGCTAGCAATGCATAGCCTTGAAAGCTTCTTGGAGACTGAGAACTTGAAATTCTTCACAAGTTTAGAATAACCGTGACCTTTGCAGTCATGGAGTGCGTCTTATCGGGTGAGTTCCTGGTGAGTTATTGTGCAAATGAAGATGGGTACCTCTCAAGCTGTTGCGTGATGCCCGTGATGTGTAGATAATTCATGAAAAACTGAGAAAGCGGTTTGAGCACCGCCTCTGACAAGATGTAAGGAGCATGACAGTCTCTCGTTTGATCCGCTTTCATGGATCCTTACCTCGAGTTGATTGTATCCTCAATGAAATAAGCTAAATTATGCATCACATTCTTCCTGTATTGATACCTGCATTCCTCAGGTTTCTATAATTGGACCATTGTTAGGAGCCATTGGGCAGTGGAAAGTGGAGAGTATGGGCTCTTAGTTTATCTTGCAAACCTGATAAACATTACATCTGCTTTCCTGAGGGTTTGGTGTATGTAAGTGTCTGGGCATATATAGATATATACATGTATATATATATTTCAATCACCTCACCATGTAATCATTTTTTTCTACATAGAATTCAGGAAATAGATTTTATGCACACCACATTTGAAAACATGCTATAATGCATTTTGAAGCTGTAATTTATAAAAGTTAAAACATTTAATGAACCTCGAGGTTTCAAGTATGTAAGCAATATTTTCAAGCGAGCGTCTCCTTCTAAGTCAATAATTGATTCTGAGTTTTACTAATTTTTATGGGATGTTTTTGAAAATCTTGTAGTCTTACTATAGTATCTTTTATTATTTCATCTTTTCTTTTTTAATTTAAACAAAAATTTATTGCACATTCCAAAAATAATAATTAATAATTTAAGTAAAAATTATGGTCAACTCATTGAATTCCCTTGCACCATTTCGTGTCCTTAAGATTCATTACTATTGTGAAATATTCCAATTCCTTGTTCTTTGGGAAGGCTACTCACAAACTTGACTTTAGACTGATTATTATTTTTAGTTATAAAATCTTTTATTATAAGTATTGTGTAATTTAATCTCTCTTGATGAATGAAAATTAATAGAAATAAAAGTGAAAATGATACAAAAAATGTCATTTATGATTAAATTTCTCTTAGATATTTATTAAAGTATCATTCATTAATCCCTTAAACTTCTTAAAATCCAAAGAACTTTTTGGCCGTTTTGAACATTTTACATGAAGTATCAAAATTTTGTATTTTTATCAAAAAAATAAATAAATAATAAAATAATAAAATAATAAAAAAAAAGATAGTAGAAATTTTTATGAATATGAATTTTATGAAAATTTTGGAATTGGTTATGGTGTTTTTTAGATTTAGATCCCAATAGGAGAGGATTGGGCAAGTACCTACCCCAATCACATAACTATAATTGCGGGCAATTTTGCAGGTTGTATTTTTAACTTTATATATGTGTATATATGTATATATATATATATATATATATATTCTCCTCCTCCTAAAACATATTAAAATGCTTCTACCTACAGTCCATTTTTAAGTATAGATTTTTTGAAAACAATGTTGTTTTTTCAAATAATTTCTTTGTTACTACTTTTTCAACTCTCTACTTCTTGAAAACAATTTAGTTAAAAGTGTTATATATGTCTTCTTTTTCTAAGATTTTATATGCATGTGCTCAACTTGAGGATATCTTTTAAAAAAATATTCTCCTAAAAAGTTTAGAACCACAAGTAGGAATTGTGTGTAGCACAAGTCTCACTATGCCTTTTGGGCAACACCAAAAAAAACTTTTCCCTCAACTTTGAATGTTATGATCTCGCACATGCAATGACTTGAGTACCTAATATTCAGTAGACACACCCTATTATAAGTTAGGAACAAGATCTTATAGTAGAAAATGTTGAAAGATTTGAAAGTCATTTTCTTGAAAGGGGTTTTTTTTTTTTGACAGTTTTGGAGATTAGACAGAAAGATAACACAAGGAACTTTAGAGATTAAAAATCATGCATGTTGTCAATGTCATACATACAATAACAAGGACATAACTTGAAGCTTCAACATACAAATTAATACAATGAAGAAAATTAAATTTTATTAATATAATATCAGTATAATATATTAAAAATAAGTTTTACCCTCATTTATCATTTTAAGAAAATAGAAACTAATTAGTTCAAGCTTTTGAAAGCTTTTGTAGAACAAGAGTTGCCATCTAAAAGTCTAATCAAGACTTCCCATAAGAAGCTTTAAAACAATTTGCAGATAACATTTTTGATAAATTCTAGGGTTTTAATCAAATGAAGAATTAATGGTAATGATTTGCAACAGTGTTTAATTTTTACATAGATATGCATTTCATGCTACTGCAAAATTATTTAGATGTTACATGAAATGCATCAATTACAAAAATTATCTTTCTGTATTTTCACCAAGTCATCAAGCCATGTTGTCATTCTATCATTCAAGCACAAATTACTCAATACAACAAAATAATTCCAAATTTCGTTAATCTATTATACTTTATCCTCAATATTTACATCAATGATAAATCCTTCTGTACTCAACCTTAGTATTATTGATCAATAAAATTCAAAAATCATGACTGCATAGATTAGCACGAACATATTATAACAATAACCATTTTAACGAGACCTTTCTCTCTAGTTTTTATGTAGAATAAACGACATTGTCAGAGTTACTAGAGCACTTTTAGCAACAGTATCAAACAGGTTAAAGTCGGGCATGGCGTAGAGAACAAGGTGTTGACAGCGCAGCCTTTAAAAATCCGAGACACTGAAACTGATACTGAACTGAAAGTTATATTTTGTTTTGTTTTGTTTTCATCAGATAATTTTAAAAACTATAAGAAAAACGAACGTCAACTTCTGCTTTCATCATGACAGCCGACACTCCCCGATCTGTGATGCTCTAACCAATACCAAAAAATGGACCCTCAACTTTACACCGTAAACTATAAGCCTGCAGAAGGTGTACCTCTCAAAGATGGGCATAGCTTGTCTAGAACAACTTTCTATTCCTTCAATGCTGGAACTCTAAATATCAATCTAAAATCTTCTACTATACATCAGGCCCAGAATAATTAGGCAGCAGCTTTCTTCGCATGTTCGCTTCTCATCTTCAACTCCTTGGTAAACATTCGAGGAGCAATTGCCATTGACATCAATTCCTGAAAGAGAAGCTTACAAGCATACGGAATATGCACCTGCATCAACACAACAGATTCGTAGTCAAAACAAACATCCTGTGTAATACAGTAAACAGCACACACTTTGATACTTGCTAAGGTGTCAACATGAGAGTTAAGATTGGGAAAGTATGATGACAATTACCTGTACAATATCAGTGTTGTTTTTGCAGCCTCGGCATTCGTAAGTATTCTTCTTTAAGTTGGCGATGGCAATGATACCACAATGCTCACAAACGTGAACTCGGTAAGCATCACTTTGATCAAATAAGCGCTCCTTCAGGAAATGAGCTGCACCGTGAGCGATCATACAATCTCTTTCCATCTCTCCAAACCGCAAACCTCCATCCCTGGATCGACCTTCTGCAGGCTGTCGTGTCAAGATTTGCACAGGACCTCGTCCCCTTGAATGAATCTTATCATCAACCATATGCTTGAGTCGCTGGTAATAAGTAGGACCCAAAAAGATGTGTGCAGTAAGCCTTCGGCCTGTGTGCCCATTGTACATCACTTCAAAACCCCTCATTTGGTAACCACACTTGTGCAGGGCTTTACTAATGTTATCCACCTGAAGGAAACATGCAGAAGTATTAATTAACAAAAGAAAACAAGGGTACAGACAACACTCTAGATGTACAATTATTAAACGATTAGAACCAACATAAGTGGCCACCTTACCAAAACATCATTAGTAAGAGCAACTACTTACAGTGACATCAGTGAATGGTGTGGCATCTCCTTCCTTTCCCATGTGAGCAGCCACTTTGCCCATAATACATTCAATGAGCTGACCAATAGTCATTCGAGACGGAATAGCATGGGGGTTGACAATGATATCTGGTGTAATTCCCTCTTGAGTCCAAGGCATATCTTCCTGGGTGTAAGTCATTCCAACTGTTCCCTTCTGTCCATGTCTACTACTAAACTTGTCTCCAATTTGAGGAATCCGGATAGACCGAACCCTGATCTTTACAAAACGCAGACCATCGGCGTTGGTTGTCAGTAAAACTTGATCGATCATACCACTTTCACTATGCCGCAAGCAAGTGCTCTGATCCCGCTTTGTGTATCGCTGGGCTTGGCTAGCGTTGTCATCTTGTGGCAACGGTGTAGTCTTGCCAATGATAACATCCTCGCCTGATACTCGAGTACCAGGTGGGGCAAGTCCATCGTCATCAAGCTTGTCATACGAACCATGCCGCATACCAGTGGTATTTTCTCTATTGGGTCTCTCAAATTCTTCCTTAATCAGAGTGCCTTGTTTCTTCTCCTCATCCCTGTAGTGAAGCATAACAGAAGGATGTCATCCCACATTTCTAACTAATAAAGCACCCATATTGTCTAAAACATAGTTAAACACTTCCTTCATCCACGCTTTCTATATAGCTCGTGAATACAGACATGGGAAACACAAATCTGGGCTAAGGTTTAGGTTGAGACGATTACCTGTAGGATCTGTAAAAGATAGAGCGGAAAAACCCTCGATCAATAGAAGATTGGTTCATGATGACAGAATCCTCCTGGTTATAACCTGAGTAGCAAGCAATAGCTACAATTGCATTCTGCAAAACAACAAACCAAACCATGAAAATCTGGACTACGCAAACTGAGATTAGATTATGAAGTATAAAAAGATAACAATTAAAAAAATCACAGGATCACAAGTAGAATGAAAGCAGCAACAAAAGGCATACTTACGATTCCAGCAGGAAGTTGTCGGAAATGTAAGTGCTCCATGGCTCTCGTGGTCACCAACGGCTTTTGGGGATAGTATAAGACGTAAGCTAGCGTGTCCTGAAACGTTGACGATTATTTGGAGGTCAAATTAGTCCTCCATTTCAAAATAGTTTTAGAAATTGCAAGCAATAACTCTAAATGCAACTTTTGACGCATTATTCTGGTCCTCGCCGTAAAATGTGATGCCACTATGCGGTGCTTTGAGAAGATATCAAGGATTGAAACTCCAAATCTACAAGAATACTTACCATTCGAAGCTGATAGTTTGTGACATAAATTCCCATAGCTTGCTTGCCCATAGCAGACTGATAGGTATTACGTGGCGACTGCACACAAAATGCAACGCGTCATGTTTGTTCTAATTTCTGTATATCTATGTTGCATAATGCCAAGTAAAATAACACAGTGCAAATTAATCACTGCCCAGGCCAAATATGAAATCCAAAAGCTGAACAAACTTTAGACCTATTCAGGAACCGCATTGAAGACTAGTATAAAAGAAAAACGTCGAACTTTCATAATTGCGATGCAGTTAAATCTCTGTAAACGGTGTCATACCTGGTTGTGATCAGGGAAGGGGATAATAGAGCCACAGACCCCCAGAATCATGGAGGGATGAATCTCACAATGCGTGTATGTGTCAGAATAGGCCTCCTCTGGATTGTTCCTGGCATTGACAAGATCCTAGTAGCAATATTGACTACGTTCAGTTGCCAATCTAGGGAAAGAACACTCGAAACATATAAGTCATGCAGCTCCCAAGGTCTACACAAGTTATGCAACTAGGTCTTACAAACTACTGGAAAATTAAGTAATTAATCACAGTAGAAATATGCCCTTAAGCACAAACAGCGTAATCACCGGGTGTAAAAAAAACATACAGCAATGGTCATGGAGATCATAGTCGTCTCCTCCTCTTCAGTATCCACGTACTCAATGAACCCCTTAGAAACAAGATCGTACCAACTGTTCTCGGAGGATTCCTGACAGAGTTTGCCAGTTCCAGATCAGATTAAATGAGAAGTACATATAACAAGTAACAATAAGTCCAACATTATTACAAAATATCAATGACGAAATTATACGCACAGATCAATCAATAAATAAATATGGTTCTCACCTTCATTTGTAACGCTCGAACGTCTTGCTTCTTAATAAGCAAACGTTGCTTCTCAACAATGAAAAGAGGACGACTACAACGTCCGTAATCCGTGTACAGTCGTAGCTCTTTTAACCGGATATCTCTCACAACCCCCACTTCAGTGTTAACATCGACCTGTCGCCGAAGTTGACGCAGTGTTCGTACAAGCAACTCAGGATTGCGATGAATTCCCACCCACAGACCATTCACGAAAATCTTTGTGGAGTTGGGGATCACAGCAGGAGAAATTTCTTCGAAGTTCTCAGTACTCCACTCCTCCAAAAACTCCAGAATTGGATTGGCAGCTGAGCCGACAGTAATATATGCCATCAGCGCCAAATTCTTGACAAGTCCACATGCCTGACCCTCGGGGGTCTCAGCTGGGCACATCATACCCCAGTGGGAATTGTGAAGCTGCCTGGGCTTCGCAAGCTTGCCTTCACGACCGATGGGGGAGTTGAGTCTACGTAAATGCGAGAGAGTCGAAGCGTAGGTCAAGCGATTCAGCACCTGCGATACTCCTGCTCTCACACCAGCTGTGTTTGCCTGCCCCCAGTTTCCTGTAGCCAGCGAGTACTTCAAACCACTTGTAATGGTCTTAGCCTTGACTGCATAGGCAAGGTTGATTTCTTTCCCATTATCCACGCACTTTTGCAAGTATCCTCGGACATCCTTTGTAAGCTTTCGAAAAAGCATCCGAAAGAGCCCACCAAGAAGGGGCCCTGCAAGATCCAACCGCTTGTTGCCATAATGATCACGATCATCTTCTGCTCCACCTATTGCACAGAGCAACAGCCGGTGGATAATATAACCAAAAAAGTAAGCCTTCTTTGTTTCACAAAACTCTCCTACTCCCACGTGGGGAAGCATTTCCTTCTGCAGAATCTCCTTTGCATACTTAATACGTTTTTCCCTAGTAACTCCAACAGTAGAACCACGCTTTCCAATGTAATCAAGAGCCACTTGTTGATTCTGAATCACGAAAGCTTCCTCCAGAGAAGGCCTCAGCAACTCCATCATGGCAGTATCACTGAAGTCGTAACAAATATGCTCCAAGATATCTTTATCAGCCACGAAACCTAGAGCCCTAAAAACCACGATGATTGGAATTTCCGTGCGGATGTAGGGTAGCGTCGCGCGAATATATTGTCCCGAAGAACCTCCCTTAGCACCAGCTCGGGAGAGCATTCGAACAAACATACCACTGGGGGGTCTGTTCTGGTTCTCAGCCATAGAGCGCACTTCAGCCACGTAACAATATTTATTCGGTTGCCTCTTTTTGAAGACATACACATGGTTCGTGCTCATTTTTTCCTGTGCGATGAGCACCTTTTCACTGCCGTTAATGATGAAATAGCCTCCTTGATCATAGGGACACTCTCCGAGCTCAGTAAGGTCCTTGTCGGAGTTTTCGAATAGTGTGCAATAGCGTGAACGAAGCATGATGGGCACCTTGCCAATATAAACTTTAGATAGATCTTCTTGCTCCGTCTCCTCCTCCCCATCTTCAGTCTTCCTCGTGACAAACTTGGTGACATCCACGTAGAGTGGAGCTGAATACGTCAAGTTTCGAAGCCTAGCAGCCTTCGGCCAAAGTGTGGCCGTTTCTCCATCGGCTTCAGTCATCATAGGCTTACTGAGATAGATTTGACCAAAATTGATCTTGTATGTAACCTAAATCAGAACAAGCCAGAATTCAAGTCAAAAGAGTGCGCTGAAGTAACAGCCTCCCAATACAAATAATCACTAAATCCGATGGATTGAGCCATCCTTGGGCGTAGAAGGATGAAAACCCTAGAACACAAGCTCTGGAGGATTGCAACCGAAATAAGTGGTTTCTACATGTTGTGAAATGTGCCCTAACACAAAGCGGTGAACAACGAGCGAGCGAGAGCGCGAGAGATAAAGAGAGGGCATACATCGCCAATCTCAGCCTGACGACCGGGGTTGTGCTGTGACTCGGGACGAATCTCGATATCCGAAGACTCGTCCACGATTTCCTGCATTGTATTCTGAATGAACTCATCGAACGAGTCCAGCTGCTGCCGCACCAAACCCTTCTCTTCAAAGTACGCACTGATGACCGCCCACGCATCCTCCTGCGTTATCTCCTCCTCTTCATCATCGTATTCCTCGTCACCGCCATACATCTTGCTCAACCTCCTCTCGCCCAAATCCAAACCTCCTGTACCTTCTCGACACCACCACCCTAACCTAGAACCCCCTCGAGAAATTCGACAACCCTTTCCCTATCAAACAAAACGCCGCTGTCCTTGGCTCTTTCTGAACCCGGTGGCTGAAAAAGTTGTTCAATGCTTGTTGTGGTTAAGTTAGAGATGGCGATGCTTGTAACGCACCGACAGCAACAATTCTGCGCAGCTATGGCTCTGGTCGTGAAGCCTGCGAAGCGAAGGCTCGACAGCAACCCGAATGGCTGGTCTCCACAAAATATAGCCCGGTGCAAGAGCTCGCGACCTTCGGATGCGTTGGATTCATCGACGGTGTTAAACCGGCATTCTGTACCGCATCAGTAACCACCGTCACTACCCACGAAAGACCCCGCTCGGAGCCATTCTTCCAGGTTTAGGGTCCAACTCAGTAAATAAATAAAAACCCGGTGTTCGCATTATCTTCGGAATTTCTGCTTTTAGGTTACGTTGAACAAACTGCGTGTAACTTTCTGGTCATTGTGACGAATTGCACCGTTTTTCGATGCAATCGACTGCTGCTTAATGGGATTCCTTGGGGATTCAACACAAATCTAGTGCTGTTTTGCGGTTGTGAGATTAGTTCCACTTGCTCCGATACGTGATGTTATTAAAATACTAGGTTGCTTCATGGGTTTTTTCACCGATGATTCTAATTCTACCGCTGGATTTTATCTTGGGTGGTCGACAGAGTTTTGATGCTGTTCTAAACCATGACTCTGGTTAAGCATTGATTAACACTAGATCATACTGACAGTTAAGGGTGCAATAGGATGACCAACATTCAGCCAGTGTTGGGTAAATTTCGGGTGGTCGAGTCTTATGTTCCAGACTTTTGAAGGTCAAGATGTGGCCTGTGTCCCAGCATAATCACGCGTCAACACTTTTAGACACGAATTGGTTGAATAAGCTTTTTCCGGTTGCTTCTGGAGCAAGGCAGATGAAGGACTGCAGCACGACACCGCTATACTCACATGAGCAGATAATACGCACATTCAACAGGGCCCTAAATAGAACTCATGTAAGCACTGAAAATGCACGCCAACACAAATTCGTACTGTCGTGTGAAGTAGCAAAGAAAAACAACAATATTTACAATACCACCGCAGATGCCTTGCATAACAAGGAGCACCTCAAAGACAGCAGAGCTGGAACAGATCACATAACTGCTCTATTACATTTATAATGCTACAAAGGAAACCCAAAGGAGAAAAAAATGAAACAGGGTTTCTCCGTTGGATTCGAAATTTGACAATTCTCTCTGTGCCTAGGGGAAACGGCACATTATGGTCACAAACATTGCATATCTCCAAACCTCAACCTCCGAAATGGAGGTAGCCTCCACTACATAAAACTGTCTTATGATTAGACATGGTTACATCAAGAGTTGGTCCTCATCAACAGAAAGTCAGATCAACAGTGCAAAGCAAACTACACACGGAGGTGACAGAAGTATGATCCTGCAAGCCTAGATGTAATAAGTACTGTTGCAAATTTTATCAGCCCAACGCAGGTGCATTTAGAGATCAACAGACCGCGCCTCAGGAATTCTCTCAGGAAAGCCAAATTAAGAAGCCTCTCAAAACTTCACTATAGAAAACTTTTTTTGAAAATAAAAAAGAAAAAACAAAATAAAAAATTTCAGAAAACGATAGCTTGCTAAGATATTGACAGCCTGCGTTTCGGAGATACTCGATAACTGCGTTAATAGCACATGAAGAAACCACACTCGCCAGTGTAACTGCGCAGAAGAAAGTTTACAAATGACTGAAGGTACCCAAACGTAACAGTAGACGTGTAACCTTCCTGTTATTTGACGTTGAGACTGCTAACAGCTCGACCGTGATTAATAATCGGTCATAGTCGTCTTCGAAACCACTAAAGCAGCAAAACCACTGCAAATAGGCTGCAATAAAACTAAATCAGGAAACGGATCCCGTAAACATGGAGATGGATACTGCAACTAAAAACATTCTGTGAAGAACGACAATAACACAATACATCGAATGCACATGACAAAGTACATAACTGTATCAATAAATGAGTATCCGCTGCTAAACGAGTTTGATTTCATCAACACCCTAACGCAACACGCAAACTGACCACATAAATCTTTCTCAGTACACTTATTGATATCTACAGCAATCATCAACATCTTACTGGGAAAAAAGTAACAAACTCACATTTAAAAGTCACACTGTTACTTCTTCACAAAATGACGCAGCATTTCTGCAATGAGAACATCCAACATGGTGTGATCAGCTCATATCTCATATTTCGTTCCAAGTTGTTCCTAACAGGTAATGCATTGTTCATACATCAAGCTTACCAACGCGTACAAGTAATATTGTACAATAGTATTATGCAGCTAGTTAATGACGAGAAAATATCATTGGAAGGGAATGCTGATATTTAGCATAAAACTCAAAATCCTGACACTGCATGACATGTTTCCATCTACCTCCTGCAATTCCCGACGTCCATAAAGGAGCCAACATAAAGGTTTACAAAAAAAGACAAAAACAATTTTGATATTCATTCCACAATTTCAAGCAAACTTGGCGACATACTAAACGTCCAGATGCTCAAGGACGACCTCATTAAATTCCTAAGCAAGGAGTTAGTAGAATTTTTATTGGAGAAGCAAACAACATTCCTTGCATCAAATAGCAAACGCTGCTACCTACACTTACCGGTTGATCGTTCGCATTGGAAGTTTTTTGCACACCAAGCTGACTGTGCTTGCCGAGACTGTCCTCATGAGATGCCTGGTGGTCTGAATTCAACCTAGGAATGTGCACTGGTCCACCTTCTCTCTTCTCATTTGAAAGCTTCTGAAAGATCATGGTAAAACCATCTCCAGCATTTGGGTCTTTCTCATTCCAATCTCCAAATTTGGGCAATGCACCACCTTTACCCGACTGTCAACACATTCAACGCTCCTCAAATCAAAGATAGACTCCCCTAGCAATCTAAATGCATGCCTTATTAACAGTATTCAGAACATCACTTGCTTGTAGAACATAACTTTCGCACAATGCTTCTAGTGAGTAAGCACTTCTAGCAGAATAATTAGTGAAATTGCGACATCAAGGAACTGTTCTATACCTCCTCAGCTCTTCCACCTTGGGGTCGCGGACGAGACTTGAGAGTACCTGACCCCAACACAGAGCCTTCGTCTCCTCCAGATGGATTTCGACCTCTCCGCTCCCAGGCAGGTGAGGCAGCACCTCGTCCAGTTTCACGTGCGTTCATTCTATTGGCATGAGGATTTGCAGGTGCGCGCTCAGCATTATGGCTTGAGCCATCGCCATCCATATCTGGTTGAGGACGCCTGAATGGAGGTTCAGCTCGACCTGTAGACACAGAAAGACCAATAAGCAATTCTAAATGTAAAGACACAGAATAACTCTCCAAAAAGGCAGTAATCCAACGAGGACAAAGTAAAAACATCAAATAATTACCAAAAGCATAACCCCGTCCTGCAAATTCATTGGCAAGGGTTCTTTAGTTCTGAGTTGTAAAAAGAATGTTCATAAGGTCATCACGATTCAGGTAATTTTTGTGATGAGATTAACTCCATGATAACCCTAATCACCTTTGATACCCTATCCATAAGAAGTGGGTCACCACCCTCCAGGTAGAAAGAGTAATTTCCCGGCACTCTAATTGAAAGAACATGAAGTTGGCTGAACATAATTTAACTGACAAAGAAAACCCGATTGCCAGAAAACCGAGTAGAATCATAACATCCATTTCGAAACACATAAAAGGATGACGCTCAGTGTAAAAAGAACATGACTTGATGAAGTATGAGATCTCACCACCAGGTCCACCTACTGGTTTGCGAGCAGGTCCTTGGTAATCAGAAGATGGTTGACGACTAGCCGAATCATTTGATCTACGTACATCCAAATCCTCACGACTTGAGCGCCTTTCATGTCGTGGGCGGTTTGCAGCGTCTTCTGTTTGCTCCAAACCATCATTCCCGTCAGAGAAAGAGACTCATCAAACCTAAAGCAATGAAAAAACTTGATGCTCTTCAAATGAACATTTTCGTGGCATTCAAGGTTTAAAGAGAAGATCACCAGTAACATGCGCCGGTCTTGTACGAGGTGGGGGGCGATCATTATTTCGCTGAGTAGGAAGAGGGCCACCATATATTTGGGCAGCTAGAGCTTCATTCTCAGCTGGATCATTGGGGTTGATGGGCTTTCCACCCTTGCCAGTACGAGCCTGATCAAAAACTGCAGTGTAAGCTCCGCCGTTTCCTCCATTTGCATCCCAATTTCCAAATTTTGGAACATGGGGTCGCTGCAACATAATCAGACGACATAGATCAGGACAAAGCAAAACAATCACGGAGAACTATCTGCAGCACTGCAAAAACAGTAGTCCGGTACTCGTGAGAAATAGAGAAGTAATAAATCAAGCAACTGTGACACGTAGATGAACGCGAACGGCATGAAGCTGAGAACAAGAAACATACAAAGATTATCCAAAATCCAATCACTGTTCAAGTCTGCTCATCAAATAGTAGCACATCAAAACACCGTTCTAATGAACGCAGACAAGCATATTCTGATAAGTAGGAACACTGCATGACCATCACAGCTCTTACCTAGAAATCCATAGTACATCTGAATTTTCTATAAAACAATTGGTTTACACAATTGTAAGGATACACCGTTACTTTACCAGTACCCATCTAACATAAGTAAGGAATTCAAGTAAAGAAAAAACTAGGAGAAATTCATGCTATTCCTTGTCGACACAGTGCATCCAAGAAAACGCAATAGCGCCAATGGAAGGGTCTGCAAAAGTTACCGCCATGAGAGAGTTTCTTTTGTGTAAAACAATGTCTTCCGCTCTCGCCCTCTGCATCGATAGTTTGCAGTGAAAACATTAGTCCTCTACATGTTCACAATTCTGAGACAGTTAAGAGAACTAATTCAGCACTACAGCCTACTTGATGAAAACATTCAAAGTGGAAGCTACGCAATTACATGAATGTATTACGTATTTTTCGGAGTGACGTAGTTGCACCCACAATCAGACAATTTGCACATTAATTTCTCACATTAATTTTCACAAGACAGATGGAAGAAGACGGCCCTTGCTTACAATCGTGCACAAGAATAATCTTTACTGTTCGTAGAGGCTGTCATGATCATCAGTTTAACCTTGACTTTCCCACCTAACCAATAATGTCCACTAATAAAATAAAATAAAATGCTGCAACAACGATGGAATCAACCCTTCCTAAGAAACCGGGACATGAAATATTCATCGGTGTGATACAATCTAGAAGTAAAAATATAGTTGTATAATACCAAATTCAGTCCGAAATTCTATTAAAATACCACTCTTGCAATTTCACATTTCTATTGTTTATGCTTTTGTGTACACGAAGAGTTATCCGTTGCTGATACAGTTTAAATTGTCTAGGACCCATTCAGCTCACAAGTACCAGATCTTGATACACCTACGGCAACACAGCATCTCACAATTCCAACCCATAAACCTCGTCATATTACCACATGTATGTTCCAACTAGAACACTGCTTCTTAGTAGCGAAGTAACACAAACAATTCATTACTGACTCGCTGCACTCTCTCCCTCTCTCTCTCTCTCTCTCTCTCTCCCCCTGGGCTGGGGATCCGCAACGTCAAATCTTACCCAAACGCCCAAAATTTTCCAGCAACAGACTCACAATAGCAATTGCAGTCAAACCAAAAGGCCCTAGCATCGCAGTCATCTGAGCGCATCCAGCAATCCACAACAGTGCCACGGAAAACAACTCACCCGAATGCGTTTTTAGCTGACACCCTCTACACCCTCTGCTGCGGTTTTCTCAAACAAGCTCAGTTCGTAGCGGTTCCAATAAGGTCTAGGAAACAAGGAGGGCAGGAAACGAGCGAAGCGGTGGGCAAAAGGAAGAGGGAGAGAAAAGGGAGAGCATACCCTAACAGAGATACCAGTGGGACCGAGCTATGGCCAGCATGCTGCAAGAGTGAGACAGCAAAGCAGAAAAAAAAAAAAAAAAAAAAAAAAAAAAAAAAAACCAGAAAACCGGAAACCCACCTAAAAAATCCAGAGCAGCTCCAAGTGATGAATCTCACGGAAGCAGGGAGACGACGAGTTCCGAGACTCTCGTCAGCCGACAAGACGATGACGACGAAACTGGGAAGACGAAACTGGGTTTGTCATCTGTACCGACGACCCCAAGACCCACACCCCCTCTCTCGCACACTCTCTCTTTCTCTCCAATCTTTCTATGCAGTGCACGTTTCCGACCATGGTTCCACGTCTCCGTGTGACAGTCGCGTTTTCAACCGCACACTGCTTCTTCTTCCCCCCATGGTTGACTCGCTCTCGCTCTCGCCCTCTTTTTGTCTTTCTCGCTTGGTGGGCGTTACCGTTGCTGCCCACCGTTCATCTGATTCCTTTTCGATTTATCCCCAAAGTGGTTGATTCCACTTGGATTGGGTGACGCTTCTTCCACTAATCAATCCTCCTCTGATTCCGCCTCGTGGCAAGTGCCACTCCCTGAAGACCACCACCACGAAGAGGACGAGAAGCTGGAGCTGGAGTCGGACACTATTCACCCTTCTTCACTCCCCGCGGTTTCCCACTTCGGACCCTTTCGCCGCTCCGTCGGTGATAGGACTTCTCGGTGATAAGCCCCCCCCTCGCAGAACCCACTCCATCAAGTCCCTGTTCACATTGCCGAAAACACTAGTTCTCTCCCTCGCGCACTTATATCTTACTGTTTTAGATAACTCAGGTGAACTGTTTTTAAAATAATGGGCAGCTAATTTACTTTGTGTAATCTGGGTGGTTTTTTTGGAGGATTGATTGGTTGAGGCTGAATTTGTAAGATAAATCAATCCGAGGTGTAGATTATAAACAATTTTATATTTTTTTAAAGTTCTGTTGTTGATTCAAGTGATGTTTTTTGTTCTTTTTATTAAAAGAAAAATGAAAGGGATTTTTTCATAGTGGTTAATGAACAGGAGGATTGTAAACTGCCAAAGTAGGCGTATAGAACCATAGCTTTTGGGTACAGAAACAATTGGTGAATTTACACGTAACAAGGGTGCACTAAAAAATCTTGAAAGTGTTCATTTCATTTTTTAAAACATCTTTCTAGAAGATTTAGAAATTATCATGTGCATTAATTTTATGGTTCAAATGAAGGTAGTAATAACGTTAGAATTATGTGCTTATATATTTATATTTATATATATATATATCCTGACAATGTTATTCATAAATTATTCATCATAAATTTTACTTTTATAAAATCAAATTCAATTTTAAAAATCCAAATAAGATGCACAAAAGTATATATGTCACATTATTAAATATTTTACTTATTTCAGTGAAATACTTATTCTACTTAATTATGATTTACGACAAATAATAAAATATGAAATCAATATTTCTAAGGCAGAAAATAAATCTGATAGGTACTAGATACCTTCTCATGGTGCAAAATTGTACACACTAGCTTAACAATTAATGTATTATAACACCTACGCTTGTATTAAGTCCTTAAATGCCATGTACTTACCTCTTCAATCAATGCAATGGCTAAACTTCAGTTGTGTCAAGAAAAAATATACATATATATATATATATATATATATACTTCAGCTGTGTCAAGAAAATATATATATATATATATACAATGACAAATAAAACCGAGTACAAAATCTGAACACTCATAGTTCATTGATCCTTCCAACTCACATAAGTCAATTGATAGAATTACTTTTTTATTGTGTGTATTCATCCAGTCTTCTACATGGATGAAAAATCTCATTATCATTTGAGGTAGGGTTTATGAGAAAAGTGTTGTAGAAGCACACAAACTTGCGTACTCAGTTTTGGTTGCTTCTTCTTGCTAAATTTCGAAATTTCAATGTACACTCCTTGTTGCAAGATTTGAGGGCATTTTTTGTTTGTTGTGTTGCTCTTGTTGTGTACTATCTATAGTGAAAGTTGATTTGTCAATTGTATCTCTATGCCTCGGTTGTGTGAATCATTGAAGAACCAAGCATTGGTGCAGCTTAGGAGTGGTGTTTCTACAAGGAAAGTTGCAGACTCATTTAGAATGAGTCAGTCTTCACTAGCTTATCTGAGGAAGGAGATTAATGGTGAAATACAAAAGCAAAGAGGAGGACGTCCAAAGGTTTTAGGAGAGCAAGAGAAGCGACTTGGAGTGCACCTTGTCACTGCTGGTTGTCTCAAAACGGCAAGTGCAGCTGCAAAACAACTTCGAGAAAAAACAGGTAAACACTTCTTAGACATCATCTTGAGGCGTGTGTCATAGACACAAAATACAGACTTGAAATCTAACAAGAAGTTCAAGAAGAAGTGGCAGAACTAGATAAACAGATGAGTACAAGAACAACACCAGAAAGGTGAGCTAGAACTCCAAGAGATGTGTTGTCGAGACTGAAGAACTCTTCAGCCTTGATCCCTATATATACTCCTACTTAGGAAGCTTCTCGAGCTACTTTTATTATCTAGGAAGCTTCTAGAAAGTTCCAGAGGCTTCTTTTCTAGAAACTTCTAGAAACTTCTCTTCTAGAAGGTTCCAGAGACTTCCTTTCTAGAAGCTTCTAGAAACTTCTCTCTAAAAGGTTCCAAAGGCTTCTCTTTTAGAAGGTTCCAGAGGCTTATTTTCTAGAAGGTTCTAGAAACTTCTCTCTAGAAAGTTCTAAGGAATATGTCCCTAACATCACCCCCTCCTTTAGTTTTGAGGTCTCTGAGAAGCAATGTTGTTGATCAGTACCAACGCAAGAAAATGAAGATCTGTCGCATAATTTCTGCTATGAACTCCAACTGTTGTTCACGAGGCAAATGGTTCATCAACCCTTGAAGCCAACGGTAGTGGCCCACGCCTTCGACTTTTGACCAAGCATGAACTTCCGTGTCCTCATTGTGAAATTGTCCTGCAAACACGCCTTCTGACTGACCATCTTAAGCAAGCTCGATCTCAAATACGATCACCAGTGATCGATTACTCGGTATCTTCCGTCGTCATCATGGTACATGTAGTTCTTCATCTCGGGGTCGCCTTCGTGAACTACTCGGTTGCAATACTCTGACTGGCATAGTATCTATTTCTTGGCTATCCATATCAAAAGACCAAACTACGATCTATCTTGGAGAAAATAACTACATCAACTACGAATTTTGCTGGTACTCTCCCCTTTTCTTATATTGTTGGGAGAACAAGCTTCAGAAAGAAGCTATCGTCGAATTGATTTAGGTTTATCAAGATGTCGTTGATGAAACTCCTGTATCTTTTGTGGCGCATTCACAAGATTTTCAACTGGCTCCCACGTTCGCTCATTAATGTCATAGCCGCACCAATGAACAAGATATTCTAACTTTCCCCACCTTCGCCGTGAATCCAATACCTTTTCAACCTCGTATTCTTCGTGGTTCTCGATTTCAATACTAGGTGGCGGACATTGCACTCTTTCAGGAAAAGATGACTCTCGATAAGGTTCCAACAGAGAAACATGAAAGACTGGATGTACCTTCATAGAAGCCGGTAACTCCAGCCGGTATGCCACTGGATTAATTTGCTTCTGGATGGTAAATGGTCCTAATCTTCGATAGTCCAACTTATCACATGGTCGCTTGGTCTTGATATTTCGTCGAAGAAGCCAGGCTTTATCTCCAACTTTGAAAGTAGGTGCCTGATTCCGAAATCTATCTGCAGACGTCTTATAGGATTCTTGAGCGGATTGTAATTGAAGCTTCAACATAGTTTGAAGCTCTAATAGTTGCTTCGCAAATCCTTCAGCTGCTGGATTGTTATTTGTTGACGGACTCAATAAATCAAGCTTTGGATGATACCCATAGTTGGAAAAGAATGGTGTTTGTTGAGTCGATGCATGGAGGGTGTTGTTATATGCAAACTCGGCTAGCAATAGATATGCAGTCCAATCGTCTTGCTGATAGTTGATGCTGCATCGTAAGTATTGCTCCAAGACTTGGTTCACTCGTTCCGTTTGGCTATCAGTTTGAGGATGAAAAGCTGAAGAAAGCTTGATATCCACCTTCAATATCCCAAAGAGAGATCTCCAAAACTTTGACACGAACTGGGTACCTCGATCTGATATGATATCATCTGGTAGTCCATGATATCGATACACATTATCGAGAAAGAGTCTTGCTGTGACTTCACTGAACGATGTCTTCTTACAAGGAACAAAGTGTACCATCTTCGTAAGCCGATCTACCACGACAAAGATGCTGTCAAATGAGTTTCATGATGGCAAGTCCGTGATGAAGTCCAAAGAAATTGAAGACCATGGTCGACGTAGAATTGGCAATGGCTGTAGAAGTCCATAAGGGCGATGCCAAGGATTCTTGGAACTTGAACAGATGTCACAAGAGAGGACAAAATCTTTCATATCCTTCCACATTTGGGGCCACCAAAAATCTCGGGAAATAAGCTCCAAGGTCTTGTTGAATCCAAAATGTCCCGCAGCTGGAAAATCATGGCAAGATTGAAGAACTCGGAGTCGTGCTGGTCCTTTTGGAATGTACAATCGCTCTTCAAAGTATAAAAGATCTCCCTCCACCTTGAACTTGCCGTCATTGGTATGTGTCACGGACCAAAATTACAAACAAGAAATCTAAACAAGAATTTCAAGAAGAAATGACAAGAACTAGATTATCAGATGAGTACAAGAACAATGCCAAGAGAATTGAGCTAGAGCTTCAAGAGATGCGTTGTCGAGACTGAAGAACTCTTCAGCCTCGACTCCTATATATACTACTGGCCTATGGTTCTAAGGAAGCGCATCAAGAAGCTTCCCAAGAACTATGAAGCTTCTCGAGCAACTACCCAAGAGTTAGGAAGCTTCTCAAGTAACTTCTTAGAATCTACTAGAATATTCTAAGAATCTTCTAGAGCCTTCTAAGGGAATCTTTAAGGAATATTCAAAGAATCTTTAGGGAATCTTTGAAGAATATTCTAAGAGA